AAAACCGTTAAGAATGGTATAGAGGTAAATAGTGTTTAATCGGTAGCAAATAGGCTCTAATGTCATCTCCTCAAAGGAATACGTCCACTTACCAGTCACCCTGTATATACGGTACAGTGTTCTCCGATTGGCTTTTTAAGCAGACCAATTCCGTTTGAGTGGTTTTTTGAAAGAACTTTTTGGAGACGTTGAGCTGGGGCTAATTCGTCAATCCCCTCGCAGAATTGGATACATGATTTCCTTTTTGATTTTCTTAATTCACGGTTGTACTTGTCTAGGGCTGTTCTATAGTCTGCTCAGTTGTCGTTAGTTTTTGCCTTGTTGAACAGTTTTCTGGTATCTTGTTTCAAACGTCTCACTGCCCGTTCCACCAAGGCACATCCCTGTAGATTGCCTTCTGTTTTACGGGACAACTGTTCTCATAGGAATCTCTTATTGCATTTGCTAGATTATCACATGATGCCTCTAGCTCTTCTATTGTATTTATGTCAGAAGGGAGTTCATCTAGACTCAGGCAGAGATCCTCCACAAAGGATACCCAGTTGGTGAGTTTTGGGATTCTCGTCTGAACTGAGTAATTTATTACTGCCTCTAAGTCGAACCTTATTGCTTGATGGTCCGACAGGGAGGGTTCATTTGACACAAGCCAGTTGGTTATTGTGTTAGATGTAAATGTGTCAGCGAGAGTCACGTCTAAGACCTCTTGTCTGACGGCGTTAATGAAAGTGGGTTTGTTACCTTTGTTGATAATGTCTATGTTGTTAGAGTTCAAATATTCAAAAAGGTACTCACCCCTTACGTTTGTATCGGTGCTTCCCCATCCTACCTAGGGATGGGCGGTGGCGTCTGCTCCGATAATGTAGTGTCTATTTCTCGCTTTGCACCACGTGATGAGTCGTTGCACGATCTCTAGCGGTGCTAAGTTATCATCACCTGGAAAGTAGGCTGAGGCTATGAGAATATGCCTTGAGCCCCCTTCCACAGGTAAAAACTTCAAATTTTTGTCAAGCAGCAATGCTGCTCTTGGTCTTTCGTGGTTAATGTTGTAGATTAACTTACATGATTTAATATTTAGGCCTTTTATAGAAGGGCCTCCATTGACCCAGGGCTCTTGAAGTAGCCCTACGTTGATTTTTTTGTCCAAACATTCTTCTTCTAAGCTCACTAGTGGCAGCTTTTGAGTGTTGAAGATTTATTTGAATGCATTTGATGCATGGTGAGTTGCTTCTCTTTGGTTGCTTGGAGGGAGCCATTAGAGTTGCACTCACTTTTCGGACCCCACCTGGGCACTTTCGTTTTTATGACTCATTGAGTCTTTTAGACGTGCCTGCAGTGGCGTATCTACCGGTGTGCCATGTGTGCGAAGCACACAGGCCCAGCCCCGAAAGGGGCCTGTGAGTTCCACATTGAAACCGCAAAAAAATGTTTCAAAAGATAAAAGACCTAAAATTATTAATTGTCTTTTTATTTTTTTGCTTGTATAATAATGATTATTGTATGGGCAATAGTCTATCTACGCGCAAAAAAATACCGGCAGCGGTATAGTATTTTTATTCTGACTTGAAACACTGCATTATACAAGGATCTTTCAACATCACGTCGCTCTTCTTCTATTAATTTCATAGAAAATCTATTGTAAATTTTCCTCCTGTATGTACCGGTTGATTGTCTATATTTTGCACCCACGCCTATCTCACCTGTTTGAAGAGATACCCAGAAATGTCAAATGTGAAAGTTGTAGGTGATATCAGAATGTTTTCAATGAAGTTAGTTACAAATACGTACAGTCACAAAAGGGTGGCAAAAACAAAGTTGAACTTTTTTAAATGGAACACCCCCATTTATTATTGACCAATTGGATTAGCTTTTCAAGCCTGATTCTAAATATACTTTAGGTTTATTCCTAATAGTCCGGGAGAAAATAAGAAAAAAAGGGGCGAAATAATTGCATTTTTATTGAAAAAGGTGAAGTATAGAGACCACCAGCAAAATATAAAGTAGTTCATTCAATTAAAAATCCATATTATTTCTTCAAAATGGGAAATTCAGAGGCTGATGGACTATGAGGAATAAACCTTAAAAACCTAGTACCTATATTTAGAATCAGGTCTGAAAAGCTAATCCGATGCGTCCATTTAAAAAAGTATAACTTTGCTTCGCCACACTTTTGTGATACACCCTGTATACTTGTAACTAACTTAATTGCAAAGTTTCTGATATTACCTAGAACTTTAACCTTTGACATTTCTGAGTATCTCTTCAAGCAGGTGAGATAGGTATGGGTGCAAAATATAGACAATCACCCGGTATAAAATATAAGCAGCGACGAAATATCGCTACAGTAGCCCAAATTAATAATTTAAGTCGGCACGTGCCTATAGTGGGGTGGGCAACTTATGTCTTCCCAAGAACGATGTAGGTGCAACTGTTGACTAGACTACGCGATTTCTATAACCAGTGTCATTCCAATTTATATATTATTTGCTATTTTATTCCACGTATTATTTAGTTGTGTTGTTTGAAATTGATTATCATCATTTAAAGAAATAAAATTTATGTGACGTCCATGCCCTGTTTTTGTTTGATGTATGCTGACTAGAGGTTTTTCAAGTCGGATTAAAAATACTATACATAGTTATTCATACCAATTTCGAAAATAATGAATTCACAATTTAACGTTTAAGGAAAAATATACCTAAAAAAAATTTAGGAGTGTTTTTTGAACGCCTTTTGGGTCAAAATTTTGGCGTGGCACCCAAAAGGAGGACCTGTAATGGGCCTGCGGAGATTTTGGTACACAGGCCCGGAGCTGGGTTGATACGCCACTGCGTGCCTGCCCTTGGTTCGGCGCCGCTTTTCTTTGAGGAGCTTGGTTACTCCACAGCTTGCTCCGGCTACTTTGCGGTTTTATAGTCGTATGACCGAACTTGTAGCTTACCCCGTAGCCTTCGGATTCGAGTTTTGCTGCGGATGCACTGTCCACAGAAAGGGTTTATGTGACTAGGTGAACCTCAGCGTTACGTCGGATGACTCGCCAATTTTTGACGTTTAGGTCCTCATTTTGGCCTTGAACAAGATTGAGGATTTTCTCCGTGGAGTAAACTATGCTGCTTGGGAATCGAGCAACCAGGACGTCAGAGTGAGGAATGTCAGATTCCTCTACCATCTTCAGCGAAGCTCCCTCCACTGCTTGGTGACTATGTTTTCGCAAACTAGAGCGAGCCAGCTGGGTCTGTTGTGGGCGCTCAGAAACTTCGGTTTGACCGGGCAATCCGATGCTACCTCGTCCACGATCTTGTCCGTAATTGCCTCTTTGGTGGCTTGAATTTGCTTCACTGACAAAAGGCAATTGAGGAAGTCTGTAGATAGTATTCCTACCTTTATGCATCCAGCTATCTGGCTGAAGGTTGGTTTTGGAGCTCTGGAAGGCGGAGCACTGCTGCTAGTTTCCTTTTTTTTATGGGCGGGGCATTTCTGCTCGTATCCCTTGTTCTGGTTCTTTTTTTCGCTTGAGCCTCGGGGGTGTTTCCTTCTGACCGGGCTCTTTTTTTGCTCTTGTCAGAGGTTTTAGCCCTTTCTTTGATTGGCTCAAGGGCTTTTTTGTGGGCTTCGTCTGCACTCATCCCTTTTTTTTGAGGAATTTTATCCTCTTTCTGGCAGCGCCACTCAGATCTTTGCCGAGTTCTTCATCTGAACGAAGAAGTTCTTCTTTTACATCAGTGGGACTTTTACAGTCCTCTAATTCCATGTTTTCGGATGCGCTTGAGGCGTTATTATCCTTCGCCTTAATTGTTTTTTGTTGTGTGTCAATCTTAGGTCCCACCAGTAACTAGGGAACTAAACCATACGGCCGAGGCAGAGCCCCGCTTGCTCCGGTCGGGCTAGTTAAGCCGTGGGGTTGCCACATCCCTGGAGTTCACATAGTATCGATTAGGCTTTCCCCTAACCACGCAGTCCTTGGCCTATGCTATTCCACCGTGACTTTGAGGAATTTTTATTGCAATTTGCCTTCCACTTAGCCGGCTAGTTAAGGCAGGCCCTCACGCCTTAAGATATTTCCTCATCAACCACCGATCTTAGAGCGCGAGATATACCAGGCAGGTTTCCACGAAGGGCAGTCGACTCGGCCCCATCCCGAAACAGGGCCGCCGAGACGCAGATTGCGGGCTGGGGCCGAGTCGAGTATCCTCTTCCACGCTGTTTGTCTAGCAGATACCCACCATACCAGGATGCTGTGTGTGTGCTTTCCTGGTATAGTGAGCCGCCCTTGGTCACGACTAAACGTTTCTACATCTCTGCAGCGACGTACAGCCGCTGAGCCTCTACACCAACGACAATAAGGTCCCGTGACTCCCCAGATTATTTATTCGTGTTATGATTTTGTTACACCAAAGTTTTATGATATTATTAACGAATTATCCTTTATAAATAATAAGCGCAGCCACAGTTAGTACTTACATAAATGAGCCATATAACACTAATTTTATCTATAATTTGTAGCACTTAATTAACAAATCCCCAATAAATAAGGCCCATATGTGCTGCTATTAGGCTCTAATCTATATCAACTTCTTTAGAAAATATATTAGTTGTGTATCAGTATGCATAATCAACCGTCTCTTTTTGGACCCAACATCCAACTATTAAAATGTTTCGGAATTCTACCAAACATAAATTTCTCGAAAAACCGTTTGCAGCATTCAAAATGCAGCTTGATTTACGTTATAATTCTGTTGATGCTTATTGGCAACTTGGAAGTTTACATTTGGGTGCACAAATTCTACATGGATTATTCAGATGAAAGTTATTTGCCAGGCGTTGTGAGAGTGATGTGCGAACTTGCAGGTTTTGTAATGTTTGTGTGTGTAGTAATATGGTCTTATACGAAAAGAGATTTGTGGGAAAAACTATTTCAAGATATTACTTTTGTGTTTAATGAACAAATCGTAAAAGAAACACAACAGAAAAAAGCTAATTTGTACTTTGTTGTAATAACTTTTATGATTCTAGTACTGTATAGTATGGATATAATTTTTTGGCAAATTGAAACTCAGTCTTTGAATTTTATTTTATTTTATGTTTATTTTTATTATAATTTTTTGCTTTCAAACGTTATTGGACAAATTGCTTTGGAGATTTCTTTCCAATATAAATACATCAAAAACGCCTTGGCAGCCACTGAATACACTAATGAGGAAACTTGTCGAAAAATGCTAGTACAAACCAAAAGATTGTACCTGGAAATGCACAAAGTTGTACAAACTTTTAATGGATTATTTGGAAATATTTTATTGTTGATGGCTATTCAATGTTCTTTGCAAATATTGGATTTTGGGGTGTTTTTAATGGAGAAAGTTGTGCCTAATTTAAAAGTCGAATACGATGCATTGATTATTTATATTATATTTATTGTATTGGATTTGGTAAGATATATTTAAATTAGAATTAATTTCTAGTAAAATTATTTATTCCAGGTTTGGTTCTCTCTAACTCAATTCCGTTGCAACATGGCCAAAGACGAATCCCTAAAACTTTTAGAAGTTTGCTTTAATCTGTTGGACAATCACTCAAATACCTCAGATTTGAATTTAGAGCTACAAGCGCTGATTCAGCAAATCAAAAACCGTCCGGTGCGTTTTACTGCTGCAGAGTTTTTCGAAATTACACGTTCCACTACTTTTTCTATAGTTGGAACGACTGCAACGTATTTTATCGTTTATGTGGAACTTCGTAGTAACGATAGTAGTAGTTGGAATCATAATAATGTAACAAAATAAATAATTAGTGTATTTTAATATTTTTTTCTATTAATTTCAATTTAAAAATTTTCCTCATATTTTGGAATTTTTGGAAATTTGTTTTTTTCTTTGACATTGATATACATTCTACCTCACAACTTGGGTTAATTTCAATTCAATTTCAACATACTTAGGCTTCAATTGAAGCTCATTGAATTCTCTACAATTATATAATTACAAGTTTACATGCAGCTTCAATAGTTTCGCAGCTACGAAGCTTCAAAGTTTTCTTTTTGTAATTTTTACCAAAATGGGCCAGCAAAACGAAATTTCAGTTTTTTTTTTTTTTTTTTTAATTTCAATCCTTCCTCTATGCAAAACAAAACGTAAAAAAATCGAGATTACACCAAGAAAAAAAAAAGTAGCTACAGAAACTTCAACATACTGAAACAAGAGATTCTTCCAAGACCCATAATAGGAATTCTAGGCTTCAAAAATTTTTCGCATTTAAAGTTTTTCGGATGGAAAATGCGTCCCTGATGCAATTTTGACGCGTTGCTATGACAAAAGTGACAGAATCTCAGACAGAAGTGTCGTAACAATATGGCAGAAGTGGGATACGCTTTTTTCTCCTTATGTCGCCTTCTTATTATTCTACCTCAATGATTTTTCATTAATTTTGCCTAAATAAGTCAATTTTCTTTGAATTTTTCCTGTAGTGATTTTTCACTGGAAAATTTCGAAATTTCCCTATAATGAGCTCCTCACTTTTCTCTTTATCCTGGAAAATTTCCAAAATTTTCCCTTTAGCAGTTTTCCAAAAAAAAATTTAAATGTGAAAGGATGAATTTTGCTTAAAAAAGTCAATTTTCCAGAACTTTCCTCTCGACTTTCCTTGAAGTGGTTCTTCACTAGAAAATTTTGAAAATTTCCTATAATGGACTCTTCATTTTCTTCTTTCTTCTGGAAAAATTTCACAAGTTTTACTTTATTAGTTTTCCAGAAATAAATTAAAATGTGAGAGGATGAGTTTTTCTTAATTTTACTTGAAAAAATCATTTTTTCAGAATTTTTCCTGGAGCGATTTTCCATTGGAAAATTTTGAAATTTTCTTATAATGAGCTCCTGACTTTCCTCTTTTGCCAATTTTCCAGGAAACAATTGAAATGTGAGAGGATGAATTTTCCTTAGTTTTACTTGAAAAAGTCATTTTTCAGAATTTTCCCTAGAGTGATTTCTCACTGAAAAATTTCGAAATTTTTCTATAATGAGCTCCTCACTTTCATCTTTTACTTGGAAAATTTTCAAAATTTTCCCTCTGCCAGTTTTCCAGAAAAAAATTAAAATGTAAAAAGTGAATTTTCCTTAATTTTGCTTAAATAAGTCAATTTTCCAGAATTTTTTATGGAGTGATTTTTCATTTGAAAATTTTAAAATTTTTGCAATAATTTCTGTAATTTTCATAGTTTTTCGTAAATGTCCATAATTCTCGTAATTTTTCGTTATTCACGTAATTTTTCATAAATCCTATTTTTCGTAAATTCTGTAATTTTCTGTAATATTGAGAAAATTTCCGTAATTTACAAATAATTCCTGTAATTTTGAATACTTTGAGTAATTCCTGCAGAGAGAAAACAACCAATTTTTGGCTTCATCCTGGAACCAGGTTTAAGACAGGTAAAGTGAAGACAGAGTCTCCATCTATTTTTTGGTCGGCACACCAAGTGCGCACATTGAATACCCTATATTGGACCAACATTTTCAACTCAGAAAATCTAACCTTGGTAAAAATTAGTATGTAAATATTGGCCCTTCATTGGGCTTTTCAAAAAGTATCAATATTGCGAAAAAATTGGAAATAAATATTGGGTGTACAAAGTTTTTGAAGTGAATTTAAATATCAATAAAAAATTGAATGCCAATATTGAAATAATATTATATTACAATATTGTTTCAATAATATAAAATGTAATATTTGGCCAATATTTCATAAATCAATATTGTAGTGAGAAGTCTTGGGCCAATATTCAAATTACTGAAGAGTTAATTAATCTATGAAAACAATATTGGTACAAGATTATTTTTAAATATTGTTTCCACATAGTTAAAACTAACGTTGCCCCAATATTGGTTCTGTGTTGATTTAGCAACAAAAATGAATAAATATTGGCCCAACTGAAAAACGATGCTTACCCCATATTATGTGCTACTTGGGTTTTTTGTAATTTCAGAATATTTTTTGAAATTTTGAATTATGTATATAATTCTTATAGTGTTGAATTAATAATTTGAAAAATATAAGAATTGCTAAAATTTCGGAAAATTTTACGAAAATTACAAAAATTGAAATAAGCAGAAATTACAAAAATTTCAAAACTACAAAAAGTTACTAGATTTTTAAAAAATTATGAGAATTATGAAAATTAAAAGAATTAAAAAATTACGAAAATAATTTATTAAAGAATTACAAAAATTGAAAAATATTAAAAACTACGAAAAAATCAAAAAATTACCGAGTTTGCGAAGATTCTTCAAAAAATTACGGAAATCACAAAAATTAGGAAAATTATAAAAATTCCATTAAAAAATTACGGAAAATACAGGAATACGGAAAATATGGAATTAATAAAAATAAATTAAAAAATTATGGAAATTTCAAAAATTACAGGGATCGCGAAAAAATGAAAAAAATCGGAAAAATTGCAAAAATCACATTAGTTATTAAAAAACTAAGAGGAAAATTGAAAAATTACAAAAAAATCGGGTATTACAAAAGCAATAAAAATAAAAAAAATTGAAAAATATTGGAAATTCAAAAATGCAAAATTACAAAAATAATTGAAAAATTACATAAAATACGGAAACTACAAAAAAATAACAAAAATCATTAAAATTGCAAATATCATGAAAATTTGAAAAAATTACAGCACTTACAATTATTGAAAAATTAAAATGAGAATTGCAAAATTACGAAAAAAACCGGGAATGGAAATACTTATGTAATGTAAATTATGTATTTTAAAAAATTACGGCAATATCAAAAACTACGTGAAATTGCAAAAATTATTAGCAAATTACGGAAATTACGAAAAAATTACAAAAATCACGAGGATTACAAAAATCACGTGAATTTCAAAATCTATTTAAAACTTCAAAAATTATTCAGATTTCGAAAACATTGCAAAATAACGTATAACGGAAAAGTAACAAAAATTACGAGAATTGCAAAAATTACGGAAAATTTAAAAAGTTACGGGAATTACAATTATTGAAAAATTAGGAGAATTATAAAATTTCGAAAAAAAATCATGGAAATTTCAAAAATTATGTAAAATTACGAAAATTATTGGAAAATTACGTAATATGGAAAAATATTAACAAAAATTTCAAAAAATCATGGAAATTACATTAATTATTAAAAAAATTGAGAGAAGAATTATAAAATTAGAAAAAAATCGAGTATTACGGAAAACAATGAAAATTATTGAAAAAAATTACGCGAATTTCAAAAATTACGTAGAATTGCAAAAAATTATTGGAAATTACGTTTTACACAAAAATTAAGGAATTTGTTAATTAACGAAAATTACGAGAATTGCAAAAATTGCAGAAATTACGAAAAATTTCGGGACTACGGAAAGTAATTAAATTTTTAAAAAATTATGGAAATTAAAAAAGTTACAAAAGTTACGAAAATTCTGGAAATAAATCACGGAAATTTATTAACAAATTGCAAAAATCGAAAAAAACCTATGATGATTTTCAAAAAGTTAGAAAATAATGTAGTAATTTTATTAGTGTGCGCCACGGCTTTAAGATACTGGACTTGTTAACGAATTACCTGTACTTGGTTTTCTAGAATTTTGAGAAGTGCTGGTGCTGGTCTTATGTATGTATTGAATAATGTCATTATTTTATGTCATATTTTATATCATTTTAAAAGTCCTATAACAGCCCGACAATGTCTTTGAAGATCAGAATCAAACGAGTGCAGGTGATGGATCTCCGACTCAGATATCTCAGCTAACAGTGGAAGATATTGTTGAACTACCCGTAAGAAATGTTATACTGCATGAGCAGTTAAATCCTAGACAACTCCTAGTTGTTAATCCTGAGCCTTCACAACGTAGGTTTAAGAAAAATGAGATAGCAGCTCTTCTACCTAATTTCAGTGGTATTGAGACTTGCATTTGGATGCAATTAAGGAAGTATACCAAGTACCCGAACAGGTTATGCAGCTTATTACTATTGACAAGCTTACATGACAAGTATAAAAAAGTAGCAAATCCAATTTTGATTTATGAAACAGTACCTATGTAATTTTATGGAATTTATGAATTATGATTTATGTTCACTTTATATAGGTACTTATGTCTTAAGTCATTTTGTTTATGTGTGAACCAATTCAGATTTTATGAAATTATGAACTTATGTAACATTTTATGATCACTCTGAAGCATTTATGGATTTTTAGGTTTATTTTGGTTCATATTATGTTCTTATGTCTTATGCTTCTAAGAAATGATGTTATTTTATGTTGTGTCCGTGGACGGCCAAATGTCAGGAATGGCCGATCTGTAGTAATTTTATTAGTGTGTACCACGGCTTCAAGTTATTTGTTGAACTTGCTAACGAATTACCTGTACCTGGTTTTCTAGAATTTTGAAAAGTGCTGGGGCTGGTTTTATGTATTGATTAATGTCATTATTATTTTATGTCATATTTTATATCATTTTATTAAGTTCATTCTACTGCGAATATACCTTTTGTCCATTAAAATAACGTGCTTTATTCTGGGGAGAAGTCCCGGATTATTAGACCCCTTTCACAAGCCCCCCCTACAATAACAAAAATTACAAGAATCAGGAATTACAATTACAAAAATTATAAAGACCGGGAAATTATAAAATTTCAAAAAACGTCCAAGAAATTTAAAAAATTACGACAATTGAAAATTACGAAAACTATCAAAGTTACGAGAATTATAAAAAATTACGGGGATTACGAAAAAGTTACGGGAATTACGAGAATTAGAAATTACAAAGGCTTTCGAGAAATGATTTTGAAAAATGCCCAGAAAAAATACGGAAATTACGGGAATTACCGACTCATTTTTGAAATATACAATAACGTGGAATTATAAAAATAACGGAATTTTCTGAGAAACTACGGGAATTAAAAAATTACAGGAATTAATAAAAAAATTATAAGAATTATTTGAGAAATGACAGGAATTGAAAAATGTCTAAAGAAAAATTACGAGTCTTCGAAAATTACAAAATTTGCTACAATGAGCTCTTTATTTGCTTCTTTTTCTGGAAAATTTTACAATTTTTTTGCCAGTTTCCCGGTTGTACGAGGGTGGATTTTGCCTAAAAAAGTTAATTTCCCAGAATTTTTCCTGGAGTGATTTTTGACTGGAAAATTTTGAAATTTTTGTATAATGTGCTCCTCACTTTTCTTCTACTTCTGGAAACATTTCATAATTTTTCCTTTGCCAGATTTCTAGAAAAAAATTAAAATGTAAGAGGATGAATTCTCCTTAATTTTGCTGAAAAGTAAGTTTTTATTTTTTTTATTTATTTATTTCCAGAAAATTATTACAATGGTAAACATTATAATACCTATAGAGGTAATCAGTTACCTATACATAGGACTGGTGAAACTTAAAAATTAAACTTAAAATCTACAAAAACCCACCATGTGCATAATGCCCCTATATAGCTATCACAGGGATATGTGTACTTAACTCAATTATAGACATGCTCACAGTGTGAAGGAAATACCTACATATTAGGCATAACAAAATAATATGTATGTAGTTGATACTGAGGTTGATACTAATGCTTATGTTCTGGGGCGCTCCAGGATCGAGATTTTCTTGTGAGAGATGAAATTGTGGGAAATGTAATTATTAGCAAAAGACTAAATTCTTAGCGGATTGCAAGCAATCCATTTTTTCAACTTTTGTTTTACAGCTGCTCTAGTATGCTGTAAGGTTTTATATTCGTTGGGAAGGTTATTGAAAGTTGTAATGGCAGTGATGTAGCTGCTCTTTGTAAATAACGTTCGATTAAATTTAGGTAGAATAATATTTTTCTATTTTGATGTCATATCGAAGTCTTTTCGACACTAAAAGTAGTTTCGAAAAGAAGCTCTTTGTGACACTCCTTTTTTACTTATCGGAGGTTGGTTACACTGGCTGACTGATGGCCATCGAACTGTCATTCGCGATTTTATAATAGAAGATTTCTATATTTGGCATGCAGTGTTACCAACCTAAACATATGAAATCAGGAAATATGAGAATAAAACTTCCAAGAAAAATTTGTTTTTTTAAATTAAACAATACCAAAATAGAAAAAATGGTATAAAATATTCGTTTCATAAGACATTTTATCGCACTCGCCCTTTAGAAAACTCGTCTGCGGCTCGTTTTCTAATATAGGGCTCGTGCGATAAAATGACGTCTTATGAAACTTGTATTTTAATGTACTATTTTACTTCTGGTGATGCTAATTGATTGCATAAAGTTACTCTTTAATTCCTCATAGAAATAGACAAGAGATTCCAGCTTAAAGGACTGATGCAAATTCAATGGAACAGACAGATGTAAACTCGGATTTATGGCACCCCTGAGGACAATTTTCAACAATCTCCCTTGAAGCGCCTCCAAAATACACTTAACATTGCCATAAGCACCTCCCCAGGCTATAATACCATAATTACAAACACTATGAAAAAAGGCATAATAAATTGACAGCAGCGTCTTTGGAAGCATTATTTTAGCCAGTTTAGCAAAAACAAATAATAAATATTTGGTTTTATTGACAATACTTTCGATATGAACATCCCACCTAGGCACCTAACCTTATAATCAATATGAACACCCAAGTACTTACAACTATCATCTACTCTCTTTATTTTTTTATCATTTATTTTTATGTTCAAAAAATTAGGGACACTGTCGCTTTATGCACCAAAAGCTATATAAACTGTTTTTTGGACATTAAGAGATAACTTAGATAGCCAAGTGCATAGTTAAGCGAGTTGTGCATTCTGTTCTGGGCTTTGTTCCATGAATCATCACTACACAATATAACAGTGTCGTCAGCGTAGGAAACAATAGTTTCAGATGGTAATAGAGACAGTAAATCGTTGATATAGAGAATAAATAACAGAGGCCCAAGAATTGTGCCTTGAAGCACGTCCATGTGTTACATACATAGGCTGACTGCAATAGTTAGCCAGTCTAACTACTTGTTGTCTCTTTGACAAGTAACTTTCAAACAGTTTCAGTGCCACGCCTCTGATACCAATGCAATTCAATTTTTTCAACAGTATGCTATGGTCAACTGTATCAAAGGCCTTAGCCAGATCTAAAAAAGTTGCAATTACAAGTTTACTTCCATCTAAACACCCGTAGACCTTACTCACAACATAGTTCAATGCATCGTTTGTACTACGACCCTTGACAAAACCAAACTGTTTTTCAGATACTAATTTGAATTTTGAGCAAAAGCCAAACAACCTAATATGTATTACCTTCTCCAGTATCTTTGCAATGTTTGATATCAAAGAGATTGGTCTATAATTGGTTTCACAGTGCCTATCACCTGCCTTATATATAGGTATAATTACTGCTGATTTTAGTGTACTTAGCCATATTCCCAATTGAATGCATTTATTAAAAATATGCTGTAATGGTTTAGCAATAAAGTCTTTGATTATTTTAATAGTTTTAACATTAATACCATCACCTCCACAGCACATTTGACTTTCATTTGTGTTATAATTCTAGAAATTTCAATACTATCTGTAGGATTAATAAAGAAAGATTTTTCATTCCTGGGAATTTCCATTAAATCAGCTATCTTTGGCTTTACTATCTTTTTGGCCAGGGTGGAACCTACATTGCAAAAAAAGTTATTGAAATGGGCAGCAATTTCCTCCTTTTTATCCATCCTCCTACCCTCATACATTAAATAAGTTATTTCCCCTTTTTTTGCCCTACCATTATTTCCCAATTTACTCTTAATGAAATCCCACAAAAGCTTAGTGTCCCCAAGTTTTTGCTCTACAATTCTTTTTTGATCGATAAGTTTAGCTCTCCTAATCAACTTATTTAAAACCCTAAAGTAAAGCTTGTAATCTTGCTTAAGTTTTTCACTAGTCGGATTCCTTTTCCATAAACTATATAAAAATTCCTTTGTTTTACATGATTTAATAATTCCTTTTGTTATCCACGTGTTCCTTACCCTATTCCCATTTGCTTTTTTATTTGTGTAAGTAGATTTATTAGTGACTGAAAATTTTTCCTGGATTAATTTTTTACTGAAAAATTTTGAAATTTTCGTAAAATGAGCTTCTCATTTTCCTCTCATTTGGGTTAGTTTGAGCCCGCAGAAATTTTGGCACACAGGCCCGGAGCTGGGTTGATACGCCACTGCATCAACACACAATTTGCCTGACAGCTTTGATAATTTCAACGCGATTTTACCGTAGTTAGGCTCCAATTCAAATTCTCTACAAACGCCTAATGAAAAGTTTCAATGCAGCTTATAGTTTCACAGCTGCAAAGTCTTCTGATTAGGATTTTTATTAAAATGAGCCAGCAGCAATTTCAATCCTTTCTCTATTCATTTGCAAAATTTCAATTCAATTTTGCAAACATTTGCGCAGCCTCAAAGTCTTCTGTAACAAAATAATTAATTACTTAGTTTAATGTTTTTGTAAATTAAAAATAATCCAATTATTTTAAATAATTGTATGTCGTGTTTTTCCTAAATGATTTTTGTCTATGAAGGTAATCAGGTTAAAGATGTTTATCCTCAACATTACTTTGGCTAATTGAAATGTTTGGTAATTAATTTGCTAATTAATATGCACATCAATGTTGTTCCGCACCCAAAAACGGATGTTTTTTACCCCTAGAGTTTCCTCATTTTATTGTTGGTTGTTTTTTGGGTAAGTTATCCCTTATTCTAATGAACTAGAATTTGTTTATTAATTCTTTGCCATAATCTACAGCGTGTTCTGGTTATAAAATGACTTTAACCGAACCGGTGACAAACAATGAAAATGTTGAAAGCAGAAGAATATTTTGTAAAAGTATCCGGTACTATTTTCGAGAATATGCAACTTGTTCCAGTATACACGGTTTTCGGTATTTTGGAGAAAAACGTACTTATTTGGAAAGGTACTATTCTTTGCTTTAACAAAAACCACAATCAATCAACAACTTTTTTTTTTCAGAATTTGGTGGTTCATAGTTTTCAGTACGGTTTTCGCAATTTGCGTCTACCAAATCAAAGAAGTTTATCACAAGTGGGAAATTAGTCCCGTAATAGTCAGTTTCGACACTAGTGAAACTCCTATACACAGTATACCGTTTCCAGCCGTAACGATTTGTCCCGAATCTAAAAGTAACCAGTCTTTGTATAATCATACGGATATTATTGTGAAGATTCAGGAAGCTAAAAGGAGAAATTTGGATTTGAATCTTACGGATGCGCAGCAAACTCATGCGTTGTATATGAGCATGATTTGTGATATTAATAAAAGGGTTGGCAAGACTATGCATACTTTTCCGGAGGATTTTTATACGTTTTTAGATGAGGTAAAGAATTGTTTTCTTAAACTCCAAGCTGTTCTCTATTCTTTTGACACACATTTTGCCTCACAATTTTGTTAATTTCAATGCAATTTTACCCTAATACAAATAAGTTTTAATGCAGCTTCATTACTCTAGGTCAATAGTAAAAACATATTTCGATCTTGTTCCTGGATGGGAGAACAACTAAGCCCTTGTGAAGACTATTTTATCCCAATTATCACTGACGAAGGCATTTGCTACACATTCAACATGTTGGACAGAGAAGATTTATTCAGAGACACTGTGTAAGAATAAGCAAAAACTATTTTGGCTTCATTTAATTAAAGATTTCCAGAATCCATCATAGTAATTTTTTGATCAACCCTTATCGACAAAAACTCACTTGGAATCTAGACAAGGGCTATTTGGACTACAAAACCAACTCTTACCCAAAAAGAGCAAAATTTCCTGGAGTTAACAACGCTTTGGAAGTGACTATGGTCACTCATAAAAACGACATGGATCCGTTATGTAAAAATTCCTTGCAAGGATTCAGAGTCGTTTTGCATATACCGTTAAGAATTCCTAGACCTAAAAATCAGTACTTTAGGGTACCGTTAAACGAAGCTGTTTTAGGCCAGATTCAACCTCAAATGATGTCCACCTCTGAAGCTGTCCAAGTTTATCATCCAAAAAGACGCCAATGCTATTTTCCAAACGAAAGATATTTAAAGTATTTCAAGATTTATACGCAAAATAATTGCCAGCTGGAATGTTTGACTAATTTCACTTTGGATAGGTGCAATTGTGTTAATTTTTTTATGCCAAGTAAGATTTATTTGAAAAGTAAATTTCCTCATTTTCAAGTTATATTTTAGGAGAAAATGGTACTGTTATATGTGGCGCTTCTAGAAAACCCTGCATGATTTTAGTGGAAAAATTTCTTCAAGTTACTGATTTAGTAAGATCGATAGACGAATTAGTTAAGAGCAAATCGAAATCTAAATCAGCTAATAAAACTGAATCAATAGAAGAACAAAATAGAAATAAAAGGCAAGCCAATGATAAGGTAACAATTTGAATTGTCTACATAAATAATTCGCTGTTGATTGTTTTCAGGCACCACATTGTGATTGTATGCCAATTTGTTCAGATTTATCTTACGCTGTTGAAACTTCTCAAGTAAAATGGGATTGGAAAGAAAAATTTAGCGTTTTGCATCCTAGAACGAATACAGAAAAGTAATACATTTATTAAATAATGAATCAAAATTTCACTAATTTATTTTTAGAATGCACATGTCGAAATTGGTACTCTACTTTAGACAATCACAGTTTGTAACTTCGAAAAGACACGAGCTTTATGGGCCAACAGATTTTTTGGCTAATTTTGGCGGTTTATTGGGACTTTTCACAGGATTTTCGGTTTTATCCATCATGGAGATTATTTATTTTTTGACCATACGCTTATGCTGCAACGTTAGTTTATATGGTAGATGGTATGGACCTGAGCCTTAGTTAAAAATTTAATAATTTAAGTAGGTATGTTAGTTGCTTTAAATGTTTAAATTAAAATTAAAGAGTGATAATTGGGTACTGATTTTTTTTTAAATTTAAGATCAGGATCAAAAGGAAAAAATAAAAAATAAAATCTTGTTAATAACATTTATCAATTGTCAATAATAATTATTATAACAATCTTATGAAGAAGCGGCAACAGCTGGAGCAGCCTTTTCTTCTTCCTTGACACGGTCCTTTTTGAGCGGACCCATAAAGGCAGCCTTGTCTGCTGGCGTCTGGAACCGACCGTGACCGAACTTGGACGAGGTGTCAATGAATTTCAAATTGATCTTTTCCAAAGCAACACGGCTAGTGTGGACCAAGAGGGACTTTCTCAAAGTGATGACACGCTTTTTGGGACCCATACAACAACCTTTGATCATGATAAAGTCATTGTTGACTTCACCATAGTGAGGGAATCCACCCATGGGGGTGATACTTTTTTCAGAAAGATCGTACTGGGTGGAGGCGTTGTTTTTAACAACCTGGAATATAAAAATAATAATTTAGAAACTATAATAATTGTTTATAAAAAATTAAATTTAACTAATAAAAAAAATATCAGTCCTATCATTCAAGATCACATAGGTATTCATAATCCTTTTGGCTCTAGGAGGTCTCATCATTTTTAATGCAAAATGTGAACTCAAAAAACAAAAAATTGTCTACTTACTTTTCCATCTTTTGTATGGATACCAGCTCCAATCCTGTAAATTTTCTTGTTCATTTCAGTACGGTGATGGTAACCTTTTTGACCGGCACGAGCGACAGTAAATGAAACTCTTGAAGGATGCCATGCTCCAATACAGGCAACTTTTCTGAGACCCTTGTGAGTCTTACGAGGCAATTTCTTAGTGTGCCATCTGGAAGTTACACCTAGAAAAAAAAGTTACAATATCAAAATTAAGCCAATTCAATAAAATCAATTTTTTTTTACTAAATTGTATCAGTAGGAAGGCAGCATGGAGTATATCGTCAAACTTTAATCAGAAAGCACAATCCATGTATTTTCATCATAAATTTTAGTCAATTATTGAAACAAACATTTTATTTATTAAAGACTTACCTTTGTATCCTTTACCCTTGGTTACACCAATACAATCAATCATCTCATCTTGGGCAAAAACTGAGCTGATTGGCAAGGGCTTTTCAAAATGCTCTTTAGCCCATGCAACTTTGTCAGCAATGCTGCCTCCATTGAGTTGAATTTCCATGATGTGGGCCTTCTTTTGTCTTTGTTTCAACAGTTTCATCTAAAAAAAAATTGACATTAATTAAAATGTTTTGCAATAATAATAATTAATTGGTGATATTAGTTATTGTAGTGTAAGGAATATGGTTTTCAAAGTGTCACAGTCCAGAGACTACACAGTGTTTAAGGAATATACTCCCTGCGCCACCCGAAGGGCACTTGTTCTATGACACTATGGCAGGCATATTATTAGAAAATATTGCCTATTGCCAACAGCCGGAGGGTAAGCTCCTGCACTGACCATGTCAATAATATGTCTGTTCTCACAAAAATCACATTGGCAACAAACAGTTTTCAACCGATGAAAGACTAGTTTCTGAATTTTGTGTGAACAGACCTAATGTACAAAACTCAAATGAAAAATTCTAACCTGGGTGTGGGCAATAATCCTGACTACTTTACAGTATTTGATGATTTTCTTCAAGTCACGTTCAATGGACTTTTTGCCCAAGTCATCTGACCATTTTTTGGAAGCCTTCGTAAAAGCCTTCTTCTTGCTCTTGTACCTGTACAAAGAATTGAACTGTAACCACCACTATTGAATGAGAGACTTAATAGAAAACGCAAAACCTACCAGTTTTGAATCAGGGTGACTGGGAATTTCAGATTCAGAAAGTCTGTAACAAAAATGGAGCGGCCTCATAGTTTAGAGGAAGCACAATTCCATTGGTCTTACTTCACTTGAAAACTCAAAAAATGCTTTGTTTGCACTTTTCATATTGAGCTAGTAGATCAGTAAGTTTATGTCAAGAGCCCTTATGCAGCCATTGGAGGACTTTAATATGTTCATTAGTGAAATTCAATTATTATTTATTAATTAACTAATCTAAGGCTTTTCATGGAAAACTCATGAAAGGACCACGCAAGGATCTTATTGAGAAAAAATAAATTTCACGATTGTCATGAAATTGAAATATGTTATGCTTCTCGACCTCCTGAACGTAAGTTCTAGTAGGCCTTATGATTAGTTTCGGAAATACAGGGCCGGGTTAACATACATAACTTTGACAAAAAATGCACATTTCAAAATATGTTGAGTTCAGGCAATGACATATTCTAGGTTAAAATAGGGTGGAAAAATGCCAAAGTGATGTCGTCTGAAGCTTTGAAGGTTAAAAACTTGTCGAAAAATGCCAAAAATATGTCATTTTTTGGTTATGAATTAACAGTGTGGATAATGTTACGGAACTTTTGGTCGAAATTTTTTTTTTATTAACCCGGAATTTCCGAATTATTATTTTATTATTATTCGTCCGTAAAATATTACACTATATAGGTACCCCTGCAATGACACAATCATTACTCCCCATCCCTCCAGGTCCTATTGTGCTGGCGCTGGCGCCGCGCCGTCAATTTTGAATCTGAATTTTCTATTTTCTCCCGGACGATCAAGCAGGTTCAATATCAAAAAAAGGATTCCGCCACGCATAATATTTTTTCCAAACATTTCAAGTCGTGTAAAAAAAAAATTGACATCTATAGGTCTGTTTGTTATTTTAGTGTAGGATAGGTCAGTGCAGACTGCTGGTGCAGTTAGGGGTTGCTCATGATCACCAGGGTAAAGGAAAGCTACCAAACGCGTTAGTGCAGTTCGTGTAGCGATAGCAGCGGATAATTCTCTAACCTCAAAAAATGATTATTTAAATAAATCAAAGTGGAAACCAACTGAGAAAAAATGCGTGTAATATTATTGAAAAAAATAAAATTTACTAGGTTTTATTGTCAGAAATTATAGAGAAGATGAAGATTCCCTTTTCTCCAGCTTGAAGACAGTTTCATTAAAGTAGTTTTTAATACCCAGAAGCGCAATAAACGAAACTGCATTAAGAAAATATTTTGAGACTGTAGTGCCTTCTTATATTGTTCGTCGATTTTTAACTGATACTTGCGGTATGAAGAGCGAGGGGGTGTTTCATATGGCAAAAACAGGTGTGACGTCAGGAAACCATTGGCATTCTAATGTAGGGAGCCACCAGCTCACATTCCGTCCGAGTATCAGATTAAAATCGACGAACAGTACAGATATCGCTGAAATCGAGGTTTAAAAATATAGTAACAGCCAAACAAAACAACAATATTGCGCCCTCCCCATTCTGCACTGGTTACACCTCCTCTTGAGCAGGTGTAAGTAGTGCAAGATTGGGCACCCTACACTGAAATAACAAACGCCTTACACTATTTGCACTAACCGCATAACAAACGCCTTAGTGCAGAAAAGTGTAAATTATTGTGCACTAGTGGAGGATAACAAACAGACCTTATGACTGTCAAACCTCAACATTTCCCTTTTTATTTTTTTTCGGCCTTAGGATGTACAGTAGCGAGGAAGGTCAAATTTACTTTTTGACGTATTTTTTGCTGCTCTATCCGATAGAATTTTTTTTTTTTGGAATTCGATATTTGAATTTATTCATCAAAAAAAAACAAAGGGATAGCTTCGATTTTTTTTTTCAATTTTCAAACCGTCCTAACTCGAAAACGAAAAGCTTGAGAGGAAAACTTATAGATCTCGTCGAGTACTACAAAAAAGCCTATAAGAAGTATCCCTCCAGGGGGCACCGTTTTCGAGAAAATCGACCTCGAAAATTTTAACAAAATTACAAAAAATTTCAACTTTGACGGCCAATATCTCAAAGACAAAAATGGTCTGGAAACTACATAAAAAAATATTTTGTAGATAATTTAATCCTCATTCAAATAAGATATGACTCGAAACGATCGGTTAAGAAATAGCAAAGTTATAGGCGAAAAAGTGGTCTCATGTTGGATACCCACAATTTTTTTCTGATCAAAATCGAAATTTCCTTTTTTATTTTTTTTCGGTCTTAAGATGTGCCGCAAGCAAGAAGGGTCAAATTAACTTTTCGACATATTTTTGCTCCTCTATCTGATAGTTTTTTTTTTTTGAAATTCGATATTTGAATTTTTTCGACAATGCAATGGGCTAGTTTGCATATTTTTGGTTAGTTTCATTACAGTTCATTTAATACTGGATATAAGTGTATTGGACTACTGGTAAACTGGTACACAAGTAAAATAACAATCCGGACGAATAATAATATAATGATAATCTAGAAATTCTGGGCTAATAAAAAAAAAATCCGGGGACACCCATGAATTAAATTAGGCAATCCAATGATGTGTCAAATATGGCCGCCTGTTGGCACACATATGCCCATAACCCTAAATTTCTTGTGTCATCCGTCATCGTCCCTTGTGTTTACCTTTGACGTTGGGGATTTTAAAATAATTAATTCCAGCTTTTTACAAATTTCATTTCAAAATATGTCTAAATTATTGTGAGTGTGCGTTTTTTTAGGTCTCAAAACTCACAAAATTAAGCAATAAAGCAGCAAAATACACAGAAAATGACACACCGTGCGTTCGGATTTTGATAAGAGTTCTCCTAGCTTGAATTTACCGTTCGTTTATTCAAAAAGTGTACTCGAAACAGGCTCATTTGCGTTCGTTTATTGAAATTTTTGGCACTTGGAATACTTTGTTCAACTGCTCTGTTCGCTCGCTGGTCATGTGATTATGGCTCCGCTCAGCACGCTCTGCTCCGCTTGTTCTTTGAGCAAAATACCAAACACAAGGACAGTATTAAACCAAGAAAATCTTTTGCGTGCCAACAAAAAAGTCACGTGGTTTGGATTGCCTGATTTATGTACCAGCAGATTTTGGAAATTTTTCTTGTACTACTTTTTTTATCGGTCCTGTATCTCCGAGACTAATCATAGGATCTTTTTGGGTCTACGAGAACTTATGTTCAATCAATCAATATCAATCAATCAATATAATATGCTTTATTGTCGTAAAAATACAATTGATCTTTATAGACAAAGCAAAGTGTAGGGCTTTAAAACAAAATAAAATAAAATATAAAGTCATATAAAATCACAACATTTAAATACAAAAATTTTACAAATAAAATCAAAAGAAAATACAAATAATAGAAACATACTTAAGCAAAATACACTTTGGCCTAACAAAATCTTAACTTATATATAAATACCCGGTTTATTTTTATAACCTGTCATCAAAATATTCATCCAAGGAATAATAGGCTTTATCAACCAGCAACGCTTTTACTGTTCTTCTAAAAGTCTGTATATTATGTAGTCAGATGGCAATTTATTGAAAATCTTAATGCTGTCATAAATCAGGGATTGCTTTGTAAGGCTGGATCTTGGAATTGGGAGGGGAATATTTTCCTGGTTCCTAAAGTTATAGCTCGGGGCAAAGATTTCATCCCTGAATTTTTTAAAAATTAAGCAAACTGTTTCCAATATAAAAATGGATGTGACAGTTAAAATCTGATGTTTCAAAAATAGGGGCTTGCAATGTTCTCTTACATCAGCCCCACATAAGTATCTTATTGCCCTCTTCTGCAAAACAAATACCGAATCCAAAAGGGTTCTGTTACAGCAACCCCAGAATGCCACTCCATAATGCAAAAACGACTCAATCAGGAAGTCGAGAAGCATAACATATTTCAATTTCATGACAATCGTGAAATTTATTTTTTCTCATAAGATCCGTGCATAGTCCTTTGTGAAATATAAATCAGGAAATAAAGACAAATTATGTCTTTACTTGCTCTCAGTGCAGAAAGTCAAATATGCCACTTTCATGTGCCAAGAATATGTATCTAGAATCTAGTACAATGCTGTACGTTATTGGCAGAGATGTGAATCAATTACAACACAATATGGATGTAGAATTGAATAGAATAACTATATGGGTGGCTCTGTGATAACAATCTTTGTATCAACATTGAGAAATTTGGCATCCTTGCGTTTTAGGGACTCTAAAATTTGATTTTCAATAATTTTGGAAAAAAAGTATAAAGATTATACAAGAAATACCATTACAATGGCTCTTTCTTTTTGAGATAAACATATTTAGCTTTAATGCAGCAAAAAGAGACAGAGGTGGAGTAAAAGCATTTGCTTCACTTCAATTTATGATCAAATAATTTGAAAAATGTGAAACTGGCATATTAAGTGCTAGTACTTATGTTCTTATTTAACAGCCATTAAAAATAATCAGGGGTTAGAATATGCTCTAACCACATCATGCTTATAGACCATGGCCCATGCAAAACTTTGACAACGTATCAGATTCGTTAATCGAGAGCAAAAGTATCGGCTCTAAATCTACTAAATGTAACATTATCATCAAATTAATAGACTTACCAGTTCTTGTAGAAACGTCTACGGCAATCTTCAGACAAATGCTCAGCCCAAACAGTGGCCAAAGCACGTAGACCATGTGGAGTTTCAATGTAACCGACCACACCGACTACAACCATTGGAGGAGTCTCCAAAATGGTAACTGCTTCAACAATTTCCTTCTTGTTGATTTCTGTAATTGAAAAAAACATCATTTTACACATGCCTTGATAATTTACATACAAAAAGGAATTATTTATATTAAAATTCAGTACGCTGGGACAAAAAATTCGTCATAAGTAAAATAAGAATTTGATATGAAATTTCATCATTTTTTTTTAGTGGAAAACTGTAATTATTATACAAAAAGTATTACTTACTTGATCCAGGACGATCGGCTTCACGTACAACATGACTCATACCGGCTTTGTAGCCGATAAAAGCTGTAAGATGGACAGGTTTGGATGGGTCATCCTTGGGGAAAGCCTTAACTTTACCACGATGCCTCCTGGATCTCTTTTTCGGGTAGAAACCCATAGACCCGTGACGGGGCGCACTGAACTTCCTGTGAGACTGAAAATAAACAACATTTTTAGGTTTTTACAAGGGAATTATCAGTGGAATGTGGTTTTTTTTGGTAAATATAAAATCAGACCGCCCTAGAATAATATCCACATGGCTTGTTCAGTTTAAACACTATAAACGATTAAATTGATCTAAATCATCATTTTTAAAAGGGAAAATATTAAGGAATTTGTATTGTTAATGGCTTATGGGGGCTTTAAAAGACCCTATTTATTATGGATTGATTGAAATAAATAGGATAAAACAGGATTAAAAAAACAAGCACAACTTACCATCTTGCTCACTTAAATCAAAATGGAAGAGGAAATATGACAAGTTCACACAAGTAAACTTTTCTGTCAAGATGGCGGCACTTGTAGTAGCGATTTCAATTTGTAAAATCATTAGAAAAAAAAAAGGATCCTTATCCTTATAATTTACATGCTTTTAGAAAAAGATGCACATACACCCAGTAGTGCGTACTGATTGACAATTGGAACTCACAATGTTACCAAACTTCAACAAAACAAAAACATTGACTTGGCAACTCCGTTAAAGGCTAGATTTAATGATAAAAATGTACTATTTTTATAATAAATAAAAAATATATTTACAAAAAAATTACAGAAAATTAAATAATTAAATTGGTAAAGTGCTGCCACCACTGACTGATCTAGAAAACATCTTCGAAAAAAATGATAATCCTGTAGTACCACCTGGAATATTGGTCACCACTGTCCATAAGAGAGACACTATTTGACCGACAGCAAAAAGTACTGTAAACGGAGTACTTTGCAGGTGCAATGCGCAGTATAATGTGGCAAACAAAGTACCTCCGTAAGTTAGAGTTAAAGGTAATCGTTCTCGTGTGAACATGTGTTTGAGGTAAGCCAATGGACCCCATAAGAAGAAGAAACTGCAATAAAACAATTATTTTGTATGGTGGTTAAAGCAGAAAATGAAATTTCACTTACCTCAAAACAAAAAAAAGACTCCCTAGAGTAAACAACAATGCAAATTTTCTGGCCTTAAACAATAATACTGGCAAGTACATCAAAGATAATGAAAAACACAATATCCCCATTCCTATACACAAGGCAAACAAGACCATTCTTTGAAATCTGCTCTAAAAAATATAGAAAAACCTATTCTCAATCCATCAAATGCTGCCTTATTCTTACTAAGCTAGGACAATATTCTTTTTTGGTCTCCCGAAACCAGCTCTCGTCTTCCTGGGGCTGGTCTTTTTTGAACCAATTCGCCACGTTCGGTTTTTGTAAGGGAATCGCGGGCATCGTCAGCTTGAAATTTTTCTTCTGGTCGCTTTGCAGCAACAGGTATTCGTCCAAATCTTTCTTTAGGTCCACCATAATTAAGGATTTGTGGTTTATTTTCGAGTTTATTCCACATCAGCCAAAAAGGAAAACAAACAAATCGAAATGTCAGTGGTTGTTGAGGTGTGAGGTTATGTTTCTGTTCATTCATAGCTGGGTTCGGCTATTCAACGCGGAGTTGAAGTGGAGTAAACAGAGCTAATGGAGTCACCCCTAATACGGTAAAAAGCAATACCGGAACCTTAACCCGAACGGCTGGAGTGCGAATGGAGTCACTCGGAGTGCACGGAGTGAGCAAGCCGAACCCACCTCATAAGTGATATTCATTAACCCTTTTCACGTGGCTCCGGTTTAACAAACCGCAACATACCGCTTAAATTCGAGTGGTAGGTATCCTTCACGTCACTTTGTAACCGGGTTAGAAAACGGTTTGTCATTTTTCTAACCGCTTTGTAACCCGGTTAGTTAAACCGGAGCCACGCGAAAAGAACTATTGGTAAGTTGAGAGTGCACTGAGTGTATTCATGTCCCCTTCTAAGGGCGGGTATTATAAAACTGCTTTGAGAGTTAACTTAAAGTTAACTTCTGGAATTACATGTAATTCAAAAAGTTAACTTTCAGAGCAGTTTTATAATACCTGCCATAAATACTAGACACTTTGTTAGACAAAATATGTTAACGCTAACGTAAGATTTGACAGCTGCGCATGCGCAGTTTCTTTTCACCAAAAATAGCGTGTTACGTGACACGTTAAACGGGTGTTTGCGTGTAGGTACCTTATCCGTAAACGTTCGTTAAACCGAATAACCCTTTTCACGTGGCTCCGGTTTAACATACCGCAACATACTGCTATGTCAAAACTAGTTTACGCTCTATTTGTGTCTGCACAAACAGAAACTTCGAATAATTTCTCCATAAGAAGCACCAAGGGAAAATTAATGAAGCTTAGGAATCTTCAGAATAAACAAAAGTTAGAAAACAAGCAAAAAAAGTGGGGTTAGATTACTCAACTCACTGTTAAAATGTAAACAGATTAACAGAATAAGGGATTAGAGCATTTATGTGTCTTCGGGCCCGTAAACTATAAATTACCATGTGAAATACCGTATTGTTAGCGGTACCGTATTAGCGTAGCGTCTGACGCACGAGAACTTTCTAAAGTGTCTACTACACACTTTATCCATCACGTCACTTTGTAAGCTTAGTTTGTAACCGGGCTAGATAACGGTGTTTATGTCATTTCCCTAACCGTTTTGTAACCCGGTTAGTTAAACCGAAGCCACGTGAAAAGAACTCATTGTATTTAATAGATCACTTCTCGAGCCCAAAATTACAGTTCGTTTATTTAAAAAATATGCTCGGTGCAGGCTCATTCGCGTTCGTTTATCAAAATTTTCAATTTTCAGCGCTCTGATCAGTGTTGCCAACGGAAAGTTATCAAAATGCTCCCCATTTGTAGTGAAAACGCTCACTTTAGCCGCTTTCCAGCTGTGTGTTTCAAGCACGGTGCAGCATAGTGTTCTGTGTTTGAAACACAAAAGTTAGCAGCTCTCGAACCGCAGTACGGCTGGAACACGAACATGCGCTTGAAGCATTTGCGCTCGCAAAAGCTTGATTGCGTACTCAAAAGCGTCAGCTGGAAAGCATAGAATAAGAGGCGTTTTCTCGCGGGCCGAATGGTTCGAACCACGGTTCAAACTTTTCAAACCAATTTGTAGATGACGTCATCACTTGTGATCGCAAGAAAATGAAAGGTTTGAACCACAGTCTTATGTCAACGAAAAACAAGCCATAAGCCGGTTCGAACTCTTTTGAATCAGGTTCAATGTGACGTCATTGGTTCAACGCGAGAATGTACAGGTTCGAACCTAATTGAACCGGGTCGAACCAGTTCCACCGCGAGAAAACAGCTCAGGTTTATAGTGGGTATAGAATGGACAGTCCCTTTATACGGATCGGACAACCATTTGTGGCGCCATCTGTTTTCTATGAAATGAGCTCATCCCATTGTAGCAGCTTGTAGAGCAGTTTGCTTCTTTTTTTTTTAGATTTGCTTTTTATTTATTTTATAATAAAGACACAATTTGATACAAATTCAACAAATAACGGTTTATTACAAAGAGAGAAGAAAAATTTGTTGGCTTTTCGAAACTTGTCAACAAAAGCCGCTTTCCAGCTGCCCATTTTGAGCACGCAATCGAGCTTTTGCGTGCGCAAATGCTTCAAGCGCGTGTTTGTGTTCCAGCCGTACTGCGCTTCGAGATCTACTAACTTTTGCGTTTCAAACACAGAACAATGTGCTGCACCGTGCTTGAAGCACACAGCTGGAAAGCGGCTAATGTCAACACCTAACAACACAGAATTAAATAACAATAATAGTCTTTACACTAAACATAACACTGTGAAAGTCCACAAATACACACAGATAACGCTCTATCACTACGATGAAACACTTTTTCAACGAACAGAAATATTAAAGCAACAATAAGAAGCACAACGTTTTCCAGTTCATCGTTTTGTCATTATTTGTCATTTCATAAATTTATGTCGGTTCATGTCATAATTTAATTAGTAATCACTTCACCCTTCTTCTGAAGCGGAGATACCTTGGAGATACAATCAACAACGCGTACGCAAATTAATTGATAGCGCCTCTACCGGGCATGAAACAAGTTTTTCATCGAACCAAGTGGTACATTTGAAGATCGCGGGGTATTCTGGCAAGTGGCTATTGTGCTCACATGTACTGTACTAAAAAAACCTCAATGTCAGAATGTCAATAGTTTTCGAGTTTCCAGTTTTCCAGTATTAAGTATGACATTTGACATTTGACTACGGTACCACCAGGCTGATGTATATTGTCTTTTTTCAATCGTGTTCATTAAAAAAAGATAAATAACAAATTGCTGGGGATCGGCTGTTGCAATCCAAGGAAAATACACACTCTAATGCCTCATTCCGACTTGCGCGAAATTCGCTCTTTTTTGATATTCCCTGCATTTTTATTCTCATCAAATTTCGCCGATGGCTCCACCATTCTATATCGGTCATTGTCATTTTCCATTCACTAAACGAAGATAGCTAACTCATCGGTTAAGTCACCGATTAGAATAAAAACGAGGGGATATCTTCGAAAATTTCACTTTTTATGCGTGTATCAAACGTCAATTTGTCGATGCAATCTCAAAAAAGAGCGAATTTCGTGCAAGTGAGAATGGGACATAAGGAGTGCTTATCAACCTCGTTTTTGGTTATCGCCACCATATTGGTGTAATACCATTTCCGACGTCATAACTAAGTCGTCTAGCTATTTGAACAGCCTACGTCAAGGCAACAAATGACATTCTGTCTACGTCACAAGTGGTATTTTGGCGTGAGGGGGATTTGTTACATACAGGCCTTATGAGGATAGGCCATCCTGTAGTAGTAGTGAGTCTGTATCATCCTGGGATGGAATCAGCGTTTCTAAAACGGCCCTCTTGACAATCTTGACACGTGACGTGACATACATAACTCTTTTCTAAAAAGTAGGGCGCTTGCTCTTTACTATATGCCGCGAGATATGACATGACTCTTGTGCTGGGACGAATTTAATTTAATTTTTTCAGTTAATAAATACCAAAAATGCCCACAAAATACTCACATCTTGCCAATGCTCCCATTTTTACCCCCAGATTTGTCAAATGCTCACACATTGGTAACACTGGCTCTGATACAGCGTTCAACTGCTCTGTGCGCTTGCTGGTCATGTGTTTATGGCTCCGCTTCAACACGTTCTGCCCTTTGAGCAAACTACCGAATGCCTGAGCGATAAACCCTTCTTTAAGATCAAAGGGTGCATAAAAACAGATTTTACTCTAACGAGTTGCTCTATTTCACAGTGCATGTTCCGAATCAATGGAATATAATCCAACAAAACTAGCCATACATAGATGTTCTGGCAACGTTGCCTCATATTTAATAGTTGTATTCCTTTCACACCTAGGAGGAGCTTCTCGGGGCTTCACGCGCTTATTCCTTTCGAAAGTTCATTGTTTCGAAAAGTGTTTGTTGCACCACTCATCTGTTCCCTGCAAATCGGGGGCGTCTAAACACCGGAGCGAGTAGCCCAAGTGTTTCAAGCTCTTGAAACAAATACAACTAATATCGATATGAAAACAAGATAAAGACTTTCAAAGAATATCGATAAGCCCATCCCTCTGCTAAAACTACTCGTGGGCCTTTTCGGAAACGATAATCCGATTAGCATTTTCTAAAAAGGTTTGTTTGTTTGTGTTGTTCGAAGCAGCGCTTCCTGCTTTGGAGCGTTCACTCTGACTGCACTCGAACTTCGTAAAAAGTGGAGTAAAATATTGAACACACTCCTAAAAAGTGAACCACAGCAGAACTCTATTATTTATTTTTAAAAACCACAAGATTTCTATCCAAATATTAAAAATGTTCAAAATAAAACAATTATTACCTTTGTGCTCTAATTGCTTTAAAAAAACCAAGTAAGCATTCCTAATTCCTATAATAATCCATGTCGGAATCAACACATTTTCAAATTTCTAGATTCAATTTTCAAAGATTTGCTTCGCATCAAAAAGAACCTACCACAAACACAGATTACGACGACGGCCCCATTAAATTCTCAACGAGTCGTGCCATTGCCTACAAAGCTAAAACAACCAGGACAGGCATAGAAGCAGTGAGACTATGGTACGAGCCTTACGTGCTCATATTAAGCGTTGGAGTTTTTCTTTTGTATTTTTGCATTCTACGGGAAGAAAACGATATCGACAAGGATTTAAGTAGAAATTTGTATAGTAGGATTGAGGGTCTCGAAGAGCTCCAATTAAGGGCTTCACTGAAGTATAATTTGACTAACGGATTAGATGTTATTGATATAAGGAATAGATTAGAGGAGATTGAGGAAGAAAAATTGAAAGTTGCTACATCAAAATGAATAAATTGTATTTAGTAAAAAATGGTTATTTTCAATACCCACTTAAGCCTAGTTTATTCAGCTTCTGATGGATAAAAACTTAATCTCTAATCCTATTGGTTGGCCAGTTATCCGTTAATCAATAACAGTATAGATTGGTGAATTTATCTTGTAGACAGTGACTTCAACATAAGATTAGGAATCAAAGTTTCAACAATAAATAAAAAAAAAACCAAGTAAAAAGTTTTTCTATTCAAAATATACCTACAAAGACAAATTGAATTCTACATACATATTTTATTTACAATTTCATTGAACATACATTTGTTGCAAAAAAGTAGCATCTCGTTAAGCCTTCCGTAAAGCAAAATAATTAAAACACTCGAGCAAACTCACAGAAAAAAAAAAAAGTTATTTACTTACAAAAGGCTAAACTATTATTTATTCACAATCTGTACAGGTACAGGTAAATTTATCACCTTTACCTTTTGACTACAGATTGTGAATAGGATATAGATGCAATTTTTTTTTTACAGTCAAAACAAATTTAAAATAAAAATTTAACCCTATAATTATCACAATAATTAATTTAAAAAAATAAGGTATTAATTATTCTTCAATAAATCTTATACTAAATCTAGTGTGTATGACAATGCAAATAGAATTTTTTTGCACATACAAAATATAATCCAATTATTTACAATAAACTAATAGTATCATTTAACAAAAGCTTCGGGAGGCACAGCACCTCGACTTTGCAAATTATCAAAAGTTGCGCATGCTCGCATAAAGTCCCAGTCATTTCCTTCCAAACATCTAAAAACATAAAATAATTAATGTATTAGGTATGTAGTTTAATCAATTATAACTTTCAAGAGCCTGGAATAATCAAAATTTTGAGAATTTCTGGTTCTTGATTGGGTTAGTTTTGTATCCTAGGAACTTAAGAAGGGGCACATTTTTACTATTAAAATTTAAGTTAGTTATGCCACGGACAGAAATACATACATAGTTATTAATACAAAATTTAAATTTTCACTCACTTTATTGACCACTCCACATTCATTCCAGTCTTGAGAGCTATCTGATTAACCATTTCCTGTTTTGCATTATTATCAATCATGGGAGGAGTTAAAGTGTGTATAACAGGTGAAGCTTCTGGAGTGGACGGGGGTGCTGCAGTACCAGACGCTGGAGTTGGTAATGTGGGAGTCTTAAATGCTTCCTGAAATATGAAATTTTCACTTTAAAGTAAGTAAACTCATCTACAGATTAGTTATATCAATTTTCGACTTGTTCTGGATGATGAGAAAACTTCAATCAATAAATTCTGTGTTGGTTCAAAGGATTTTACGGAAATTTTATGATTTTCTCGGGTATTAATGGATAAAACATTCCATATCTATGGTTGTGAGATTCAAATCAACTTCAAATTTGTTTTGTATCATGATAAAACTCTAGTTAATAAATCCTGAAAGTTTCAACTAGCTGTAATGGCTCAAAGTATTTTTCAGAAACCTTCAAAGGTGATTTTACAAGAAATTTAAGATTTTCTCAGATATCAATGTTTAAAAAATGCTGAGGGGTTAATCACTCCCCGAAATCGTGTCACAAATTCGTCCAAAATCCTCGAAATCTTTCCGGAATCCTACCGGAATCCCCGAAATCCACGAAATCACTTCGAAATTTGCCGAAATCCGTCCGAAATCTCTCAGAAATCTTTCCGCAGAACCAAAAATCCCTCGCAATTGGCCCAAAATTCATAAATCGGTCAACGCGGCCGTTTTTCAGTTTATATTAATACACTTTCGAATAAACTTATAACATAAGTAATAGTCTAAAATCAAATTAAAATATTTGCGAAATCACCTGAAGTTGTCCGAAATCATCCGAAATCCTTTGAAATCACCCAAAATCTTTCGAAATCAACCGAAATCCCGAAAGGGTGAACCACCATCACAGAATTGGTGCGCATAATTCCTCAAAATTCCTGCAAATTCCTCCAGATACCCTATCACAAATTCCTCCAAATACCCCACCACGAACTTCTCCGAATACTTCACAAATTCCTCTAAAAAAAGGGAAAATTTTGAAACTTTCTGCATATAAAGAGGAAGGTGAGAAGATCATTTTCCCAAAACTTAAAAGTTTTCCAGTGGAAAACAGCAACATGAAAATCTTGGAAATCAACCTACACAAATTGTATTAGTTAAGAATACAGCCTCTCACATTTCAAAGTTTTCCTAGAAAACTAGTGTAGGGAACATTTTGGAACTTTTTGCATGTAAAGAGGAAGGTGAGAAGCTCATTTTCCCAAAATTTCAAAATTTTCCAGTGGAAAACAGCAACATGAAAAATCTTGGAAATCAACCTACAATAACTGAATTAATTAAAAATACAGTCTCACACATTTCAAAGTTTTCCTGGAAAACTAGTGAAGGGAAAATTTTGAAACTTTTTGCATGTAAAGAGAAAGGTGAAAAGCTCATTCTCTCAAAATTTTCCAGAGGAAAACAGCAACATGAAAAATCTTAGAAATCAACCTACAATAACTGAATTAATTGAAAATACAGTCTCACACATTTTAAAGTTTTTCTGGAAAACTAATGAAGGGAACATTTTAAAACTTTTTGCATGTAAAGAGGAAGGTGAGAAGCTCATTTTCCCAAAATTTCAAATTTTTCTAGTGGAAAATAACAACATGAGGAATATTGGAAATCAACCTACAATAACTGAATTAATTGAAAATACAGTCTCACATATTTCAAAGTTTTCTTAGAAAACTAGTGAAGGGAAAATTTTGAAACTTTTTGCATGTAAAGAGGAAGGTGAGAAGCTCATTTTCCCAAAATTTCAATTTTTTTCAGTGGAAAATAACAACAGAAGGAATATTGGAAATTAACCTACAATAACTGAATTATTTGAAAATACAGTCTCACACATTTCAAAGTTTTCCAGGAAAATTAGTGAAGGGAAAATTTTCAAACTTTCTGCATGTAAAGAGGAAGGTGAGAAGCTCATTTTCCCAAAATTTCAAATTTTTTCAGTGGAAAATAACAACAGAAGGAATATTGGAAATCAACCTACAATAACTGAATTTATTCAAAATACAGTCTCACATATTTCAAAGTTTTCTTAGTAAACTAGTGAAGGGAAAATTTTGAAACTTTTTGTGTGTAAAGAGGAAGGTGAGAAGCTCATTTTCCCAAAATTTCAAATTTTTTCAGTGGAAAATAACAACAGAAGGAATATTGGAAATCAACCTACAATAACTGAATTTATTGAAAATACAGTCTCACATATTTCAAAGTTTTCTTAGTAAACTAGTGAAGGGAAAATTTTGAAACTTTTTGCGTGTAAAGAGGAAGGTGGAAAGCTCATTTTCCCGAAATTTAAAAATTTTCCAGTGGAAAACAGCAACATGAAAAATCTTTGAAATCAACCTACAATATCTGAATTAATTGAAAATACAGTCTCACACATTTCAAATTTTTCCTGGAAAACTAGTGAAGGCAAAAATTTGAAACTTTTTGCATGTGGAGAGTAGAAAGGTTGAAGGCTCATTTTCCCAAAATTTCAAATTTTTCCAGTGGAAAATAACAACATGAGGAATAATGGAAATCAACCTACAATAACTGAATTAATTGAAAACACAGTCTCACATATTTCAAAGTTTTCTTAGTAAACTAGTGAGAGGAGAGAGTGAGATCATTTTTTCAAAATTCCCCAAATTCTCATAAATTCGGATGAATTCCTACAAATTTGGCAAAGAATTCCTAGGTGGTTTGCCCCATAAAAATCCCTCAAAATCACTCTAAATTTTTCCAAAATCCCACCGAAATCCTTCGAAATCCCTCAAAATCGCTCTAAATCCGAAATCTTGTCACATTTTTCCCTTAGTGAATAACCCCTCGAAAAACGCCATAATTTTGTGAGTGTCATATCAAATTCAAATTTGTTTCGTTATCATAGGAAAACTCTAATTGATACATCCTGAAAGTTTTAAGTTGCTGTGATGGCTCAAAATATCTTTCAGGAACCTTCAGAGAGGATTTTACAGGAATTTTAAAATTTTCTCAGATATCAATGAGTAAAAAATTTTCAGATCACCTTCAAATTTGTTTTATATCATGAAAAAACTCTAATATATAAATCCTGAAAGTTTCAATTTGCTCTGATGGCTTTAAGTATTTAGTTAGTTATAGTCATAGTACTTTTTATCCTGTTTTATATGTTAATCAAAATATATTCTTACCTTGGCTTGTTCAGGAGTGGCATTAGTAACGTGCAACTCCTCATTGGCAATACAAAATCCTGATCCTGCAGGAACAATGACCAAAGTTCTAAAAAAGTGTCGAATGGGTGGACTTTTGAGGACCGATTTTAGTTCTTTGAACATGCCAGATACTGTCAGGCACAACATTGTAGGCTGAAAAAATAGCTATTGTATTTTAAAATAAAATAAATGTAAAATTTCTTACAGTAAACACAGTTAAATCAACAGTAAAACTGAGAATATCGTGTTGGGTCTCTGGCATGTCTTGCAAAAACGACACAACTGCCAATTTTCCTTGTTTTAATAATTTACATCTTCTATTGAGATCCTTGACTTGTGTTAAATTTCTATTTTCGGTTTGGTACCAAGTGAGCCAACTCACATTTTTGTCACGGCCCAAACCGTAAGGGTAAGCCATTGTAAAGGAAAACGTGGCATTTTCGTGATAGGCTTCCAATAAGGGCTGTCTATTTTTGCTATCATAAATGGCAAAATATTGTTCTAAAAATTGCCGGACAATCGCTTCACCTTCAGCCGAACACAAAAAGGTTTGTTGAACATCGGGGATGGTTCCTTCATGGGCTATGTCAAAGCCGATTGGTGGAGGCAGATCCATTCCATCCTAATTGGAGCAGTTTTTTTTTAGGTTGAAAAATAATTTTTTTGCAGACTTACTAGTTTGATGCATTTGGGAAACTTCTTGCGGATTTCACTGTTGAGAGACAAAAGTCCGAGCCGCGTACGGCTCGTAGATACTCATTACAAAATATCCTGTAACACTCGCTTAAAAGTATAGATTATGCGGGCAAAAAAATATTATGACACACGGGACAAAGTTGACTAGACGAAAAGAAAGTGGAATGTTTATTAGGTATGCCCTTTAAGGAACTTCATGATTACAAAAATAAAGTAATATTAGGCCAAGAAGTGCATAGGCTAAATTAAAATGAAATAAACACTATATAATTCAAATGATTTGAATGTTATTTTTGATTTCTTCAAGCAAAATAATATTGAATCCATATAATTAAACTCAATTTTGTTTAATTTTTTTGTCAGCATCCAATTGTCTTTATTGTATTTCCACATTTGAACAATCAAAATTCCACTGCACTCAAAGTCCTCTGCTTTATTTCGGCACAACCAAACTTGCAGATAGTTGAAAATTTGCTTCACTTCCTTATTGCTACCAGGTTATGGCCTTTTTGGAAGACTTTTCGTTCAAATTCTTTTTTGTTCCACTAGAAGACACCCACATTATATCAATGGTTCTCTAGTATAATTGGTCATCGAAGACCTTGTTTTTGGGTTTTTGCCTACTAAAAGCTTGGACTCTTGAGAAAAGTAAAATTAACAAAACATGAAAAAGGAAATACAAAAGAACAATTTGATTTTGGGATTTTTTTTTTTTAAATGAATTTGAGTCCAATTAGGTGGATATATCAGTTTTCAATTAAACATAATTTAATTAATAAGCATCATAACCATCTGAACTATAACAGGGTGTGAAAATAATTTTTGAAAAAATCACACTAGATGGCATAATTTTACTTTTGTAAATTTTAATTAATATTGAATTAATAATAACAACCATTTTCCCTTCACTAGACAACTTTAATAGTAATTTACAGTAAAAATGTTCACAGACATAATAAGGTTTAATGGTAAAAATGAACAATAAACTTGCATATTGCACAATATCAAACAAATTTTACTGTTCCTTTTTGGCTTTTCAAACATCCTTTTTCAGTACTTCTTCTGAACATCATTTTACTGTTAAAAAAGGTGAAAATCTTACTGTAAAGTTTCAATTATTAAACACGGACACACATACAAAATGTTGCTTCTCCTGGTAAGAAATTAAATTATTTACTGAATTTACTCCAGCCCTGCACTGTTATTTTCCAAACAAATTTAGATACTTTTTACTGTTTGCTGTCCAAAATCAATCAATAAAGAGATAAATTATACTACTACAATTTGCCTCATTAAAAAACCTGAAAATCATACCTGACATACAAAGGCTTCTCTTTAAACTTGTCACACATAGGATTTCCATCCAACATAATATCTTGAATAGGACATTCGGAAAAAGCATCCAGTTGCTTTATATCTCTTATCTGCAACAAACTCTTTTTCATAAAGAAAACACAAATTTCAAATACTCTTACTCTATTTTTAGCCAAATGTAAAATCTTCAAAGAAGGCATTTTTTTGTGAACCTTTTTCAAAAACCCAAAAACACTAAGCCTGTTATCATTTAAGCATAGCGCTACAACATCTTGTATATTTTCTTCGATAATTTCCAATACAGCATTGAAAACCACCGGTTTAAACAATCCACAAAAAACGTCTTGCAAATCGGGATCGGCGTGGAATTTTGTCAGATCCAAAGCTTTGTTTGCCAGGTTGTAACGTTTAGCCATGACTACTTTTATTCGTTCTTTAATCTTGTCGTCCATGATCACTTCTGGGCTACCGGGAAAAACTTTGAGAAAAAGTTTGAAACCGTTTGGCATTTGGACTTGTCTGTCCAAGGCGTTCAACTTTTCCGCTACTTTGCGCTCGTCCACAAAAAATAACACAGTGTGTCCATTGGTTTGCCACTGAAAAAAATTTTCATTTTGCTATTTTTTCACTGAAAATGTTTTGAAATTTAAGTATGATGAGCTTTTTCTCTCCTGAAAGTTTCACCATTTTGAGTAGTTTTCCAGAAAAATAATAAATTTAATGTATGATGGTGCATTTTTGCCGAGGGGTCAACCACTCTGTAAAAATGTGTACATGTATTGTGAAAATGTCGGTATTTCGCGAAATTCAAAGTATTTTGGTGGTGATAATTCGAACCTAGTTTTTTGTGGTATAGCCGAGTATTTCGAAATATTTGCAGATAATTCTAAGTAGGTATTTCGAGGTAATTCGAAGTATTTCGAGGTAATTCGGAAGTATTTCGCAGTAAGCCGAGTTATTTCGCGATATTTAAAATTATTAGTATTTTTTTTATGCGCTAAGAATAATTGATTTTTTATCACCCTAAATTAAAATATTATGAAATGAAAATTATAGTCCATCTTCGAACAGGCTAAATCGAGGGCTAAATTTGCTTACATAATTTGGATTTACTGCAGATTAATTGAAACAAATGGAAAGATATACTACCTGATATGTATCAGTAATCAGTATTAGTAAAGTGTCATTTACATCCACTCAACTTAACACACAGAAAATTAATAATAAAGAAAAGTTGATGATCATGTATACTTATCTGTAGTTATTTACATCCACTTAAAAATTAAGAAAATCAACGTACCACACGGAAAACTGAACCAACTTCAACTGGAGGAAATCCGTACGTTAATTTCAATAATAATTATGAATGACACACAGATTGCACTAGTCTGTAAATTATCAGTTTCGTACGTTAATTATAATTTTCTGTACGTTAAGTTACGTTAAGTGGATGTAAATGACCCTTTAGTTGTTAATAGTACAAGGTCATTCAACGAGGACTGAATAGGGGTTGACAGGGGATTATTTTTGACTTTCCCTGTATTTTTGAGAACATTGACAATAGCCAATTGGAACATTTTTTTTTTCTGGAGAACTCAAAAATCATACTAAAAAATCATTTAAACCAAAAACCAAAGAGTTACACTATAGATGAGCGGTTTTTTGAATGGAACAGCCTGTTTTTTGTATGATTTTTGGAGAAGTCACACTTCTCATTCGGTTGAAAATATCTGATATTCCGATAGCTGTTTTTATCTTATGGTAATGTTTTATTCTTATTCTTGCAACTATTGATTTAATTGTTGTTTGTGTGTCCGAATATAATCCATCATATGTAGAATGAGGTGTCCTCTATGGAAAAATCAGGTTAGAAAAACAAATTTCCCAGAAGATTAAATAGAAACTTGAAATAAGCGTCTAATATTATTGTGTTAATGTGCAATAAAAACCTTCATTCAAATTTAAATCTCGACCTAAAAAAAACGGACTGATAAAAACATTTGGTGAAATATTTTTAAAGACATAAAAACTACTGTTGTATTATACCAATAAAAACTTGTCTACATTATGGATGATGACCCCGAGGAAATTATTTGTGTAAAGTGTGAAAAAAGTATTTCTGATTACTGCTTTGAATGTGATTGCTGCCTGGGCAGAATGCACAGAACCTGTGCATTGTTAGGAGGATCAGAAACCAAAGTTATGCCCCTGCAAAAGCGCGTCTTGATGCTTATTTGTGAGAAATGCAAAAAATATCTTATAAGAATGCCTTACATGATCAAAATGATAGATGATTTGAGGGATGAAATTCAAGAATTGAAAAGTAGTATTAAGAATGGGGGCACCCAACAAGGAGAAACATACGCACAAATATTGAGGAAAGAAGGAAGAATTGACAACGCACAACGTGTACAAATTAACTATAGTACACCTACTCTAATTATAAAACCTAAAGCTAAACAAAGCTCTGAGAAAACAAAAAATGAGTTACAAACAAAAATAAACCCTGTCCAGCTGAAGGTGGGAATAAAAAATTTAAAAAAAGCTAAACCATGGAAATGTTATTGTGAAATGCACCACCAAGCAAGACATAGAGCTATTTAAAAACGAGGCTGAAAAACAACTTAAGGGCCAATATGTTATAGAGACTCCAAAATTGAGGATGCCACGGATCAAAATAGTAGGTTACACTGGTAACAAGTCAGCAGAAGAGATTGAAGAGTCAATAATGGTTCGAAATAACTGGATAAAGCAGAACGATAAACTCAAAATAACATATGTGAAAAAGAACAATTCCAAAAACCAGTCAACAGTTTTTGGGGAATGTTCACCAGAATTATTTAGCAAAATGATTGATGCTAGTAAAATCTGCATTGATTGGGAAAGATTTTCTGTTTATGAAGACCTTAATATAACCAGATTCTATAACTGTCAGGGCTATCGCCATAAAGGTAGCACATGCAATGCGACTCAAGTATGTGTAAACTGTTCTGGTGAGCATGATATCAAGGAATGTTCAAGACAGGAGAAGGCTTGTGGAAACTGTATTTCCGCAAATAACCAGTACAACACAAAATATGATACAAATCATGAGGCATTCGATGCTAGCTGTCCAACCACTAACTACTATTTAAAAATAATGAGAAGCCGTATTGATTATTATGGTTCATCATAATGGTCCTGCTGCAGAATGAAGAAGTTTTAGATATAATAAACCTGGATAGTCGGACACATACAGGAAAACTAGTGGATAGTGAAGAACTGCATAATCAATTGAATAATAAAAAAAAACTAATAAGTGTTTTGCATATTAATATCAGAAGTGTAAATAGAAACATGGATAGTTTACTGCTTCTGATTAGAAGTTTTGATTTGTCAACGGTAGATGTAATAGTTCTTAGTGAAACATTTCAAATCCAATCAATTGATAACTGTAACCTTGTTGGGTATGCTATTTTTTACAATGATGCAAAATTCAATCGAAATGATGGGGTAATTATATACATAAAAAATGAATTTAATCCTTCATACTCCAAAAAAGAATTTGATATTTCAAAAGCCACAATAGGCAGAATTACTTTTAAAAAAAATAACACCAGCATTGGCATAACTGCCTCATATAAACCCCCGTCTATTTCCAAAGTTCAATTTATAAATGATATACAGAATTACCTACAGTCAAATGCAAACAGGAACATCGAAATCTTTATAGGTGACACAAACATAAATATTCTTGATAAAAATTGTGATGATGCATTTGCTTATCTTGCAAGCATGGTCCATGAAGGTTATATTGTTGAGCAAACAAAATTGGAATTTTATAACATCAATATCAAATCCTGAAATAGCAACAACCAAATTTATTGAAACATATTATATAGGTTTAGATTTAGAACTAGATTTAACCCATGTCTAAATAAATGTTTTGAATTATGAATATATGGTAAATGTGCTGCGCGCTGGTAGGTAAACTGCCTTAGTAGCACTCACCTATTTATTCGGATTCCTGTAATTTATAACAATGTTGAAATTATAATTCTTGAGATTTGATTAAGGTTAGATTAAGGTTAGGAAACAAAATTGTACACTTTGAAGGAATTTGAATAAATTTACATTACATTTACATTACATATAAAACCCGAATGACAAAGGCAAAAATTAAAAATAATACTCAAAATGTAAAACAAGTTAAAATTAAAAAGTGGATTACAAATGGAATCATCACTTCTATCAAAATGAGGGATAAAATGAAAAAAAAAAACTATTAAAAAATCATAATATACAGCTGGCTAATGAGTATAAACTTTACCGAAATAAATTACAAAAACTAATACATAAATAAAAAAAATGATTATTATAAAAGCCAAATTGAAACAAACAAAAATGACATGAAAAAAATTTACGAAATTATTAAGGATGCAACCTATGAGACCAAAAATAAAAACGAAACGACAAAAATTTTAAATGACAAAAACCAAGAATTTGAAAAGGAACTGGATATGGCAAACTATTGCAATGACTTTTTTATAAAGAATAATGTTAAATTAGAAACCGAGATAGCTACCCCTTCACAGCCTTATATTTTGGATATATGCCAATCGCAAACTCTATGTTTCTTGCGCCCGTTACAAGAAATGAGCTTATTAAACATATCACCTCGTTAAAAAATAATAGTGCACCAGGTCTTGATGGAGTGGGTGCAAAACTGATAAAAAATACTCACTCAGAGATTATTGTACCCCTAATGCACATAATAAATTGCATATTTGAATGTGGCACTGTCCCTAGCGCTTTTAAAGTTTCAGTAATTGTACCTATTCATAAATCTGGATCAAAATCTGACATCCAAAATTAACGGCCTATAGGTTTGATAAGCAATTTTGCAAAAATATTTGAGAAGTGCATAAAAGACAGACTACTTTCATATTTTAAAAGAAACAACATTCTTTCTCCAAACCAGTTTGGTTTCCTTGAGGGCTCGAACACCACTGATGCTATGTTTAAACTAACATCAATTATTAATAACTGTTTGAACAGTGGTGAGAGGTGCATGGCAGTTTTTATAGATCTTGCCAAGGCATTCGACACGGTTCCTCATGATAAACTTATAGCCACTCTGTCGCAGTGTGGGGTCAGGGGAATTGTGTCGGAAGTCCTGAGAAATTACTTGCACAATAGACATCAAATGGTCAAGCTTAATGGCATATTTAGCGATAAGCTTAAAGTAGAAATTGGTGTACCACAGGGCAGCGTTTTGGGACCCATTCTCTTTATTGCATACATAAATTCACTTTTAAAAGTAAACATAAATGGGGACGCAATATCGTATGCAGATGACACAGTTTTAATTTTTAAAGATAAAACATGGGAAGAGGTTAGAACCAAGGTGCAAAATGGTCTAACTTTGGTAAAGAATTGGCTTCAAACTTTCAGACTCCGACTAAATTTAACAAAAACCAATTATATTGCTTTTTCCTTAACATTTGCTAACAGACCACCATTTACATCAATAGCAATAGATACACAAATTATCAAGGAAGTTGCACATACTAAGTATCTTGGAATTGTAATCGATCAATTTCTTATGTGGAAACCTCATATAGATTATGTTTCAAATAAAATTGCAAAATTAATACATAAATTTTATCTATTAAGGGAATTCCTCAACAAGAAGGTATTAGTTATTATATATAAATCACTAGTTGAATCATTGCTTACCTATGGGATTGTGGTCTGGGGAGGGTTATACAAAACTAATCTTGAAAAACTAAATGTCATGCAAAAATATATCTTAAAAATAGTATATAGGAAAAATAAGAGATATCTGACACATCTTATATTTACATTGGAGACCTGTAATATACATACACTATACATGACTGCAGTAAGTAGCTATATACAAAAAAATGACTATCTGAAAGACCATATAAACTATAAACACAGTACACGAAACAACCTTAACCACCACATAAATATACCTCGTAGTTTCAATAATAGCAATCTGACTTTTTTTTCTTATATCGGGCCTAAAGTTTATAATCAGTTGCCAAATAGCATAAGAGGTATTCAGAAGGGAAAGAAATTCACTGAGAAATGTAAAGAGTATATTTTTTCTAATATTGGATCATTCTCAACTGTTTTTTGCTAAATAATGTATGTGACAATTATACCTAAAATTAATGTGTACTGTATCACTCAACAGTTTATTTTTTTTCTTCTTGACTTAATTAGTAAATTATAAAGAGCTTTCTTTTTTTCTTCACATAGTGACATAGAAGGCACACACAGGGGTTTCAAACACCTAGGTGCCTTGGGCATAACTTGTATAGAACATAGCAGAATACCTGATAGATTAGTTAATTAATTAAGTTAATAACTTTATTGTTGTAATTTTGTTTTATTGGTTCTAAATAAATGAAATATCAAAAGATACAAAAATCCAAGCAAAAATTCTTCACTGTGATCCACAAGAAGAATCGTTATAAACGAGAATTCTTTTAGTATTGCGGAACTTTGCGCGGTAATTTGAGAGTATTTCGGGTACTTTGACGGTAATTCCATGGGATTTCACGTACTTCGACGGGAATACCTGGTATTTCGACGTACTTCACGGTATTTCTAGGTACTTCAAAGTATTTCGGAGGTAATTCGGGCCAATAGTACACGTATTTCGGGAAGTGGTTGACCCCTCGAAGTAAACAATAAATGACCCTATTTGTAAAATTACTTACTTCAACAGGCATGAAAGGCAATGGGGCCACTGAATCCAATAGCAACTTCAAAAGAAAACTTTTCTCATATCTTTGTCCATAAGGAATCTGAAAAAGTTTCAATAACTATAGACTATTTCCCAAACAAAATTACCACACATACAATAACCCTATACCATCCCGTAGGTCCCTCCTGCAAAAACTTCGGTCTATAGGGCAAAGGAGATCCTTGTCTGCCTCCTTTACCTTTTTTGTTCAATCTGAAATTCGCTTTTCCGGAGCTGCTTCCAATGTTCATATCAATATCTTCTTCTTCCAAGTGGCTCCTGATGGCATTAGACCAATCTTTGTTTTTGCCTTTATTATTTCCGTAACGATTTCCACCTGGTTTGAACGTGACTCTGCGATCACCACCACGAAATTCTTGGACATTTTGGAAGTCGCGATCTGGAATTTGGTTGTTGAATTATTTTTATTAATTTGCAAAAATTGTGTCATATTTTCAAAAATTATATTTTTGAAAATAAAACGATTTGAAAATCGCGGGCTCGGAAAGTGACGTCACTTTCCGAAAAAATGAAAGATGTCGAATTTTTCATAAGTAAAATCGTTAGACAACTACTCACTGTCTAGAAACTATTTTTGTCTAGGTATAACTTTGCATTTGTAAATGTAGCAACAAGGGCATGAATGGCTCTAGCCAATAATCTAACTTGTACGGAAAATAGACTTTTTCGCACGGCTGTAGAAAAAATATCGTACATTCCTCATATCTGCGTCAAAAAATATCATAATTTGCCATATTCTTGGCACGTAAAAAGTCTCCTATTACGCAGTTGGTGAAAAGGAAAGTTGACGCAGTTCAAGGTGGTTGTAAATGTGAAAATCAAAGGCAAAATTATTAAAATTAAACTGTTTATAACTTACCACCTCCACTATCACGATTATTGTACTTGGGTTTTGGCATTTTGACCCACAAAACACTAGTTTTTTTTTTAGATTACAAAAATATCACTACTCACTACTAATTATATTATTCTAGGAATTTGAAATATTTTCAAATAGTTTAATGGTCTATAAACGTGTTTTCTAGCTTCTTACGACCTAGGAAATTGGAAAAATGAAAAAATGGCGTTTTCTTTCCAGCACAAAAGCAAAAGATTGAAGGAACAACATGGAATTTGACGTTTGTCAAAATAGTCAAAAATGTCGTCGTAATATGAGGCAACGTTGCCAAAACATCTTAATCTGCACTGGTTCGGAACAGGTACGGGAAAAGTGCAAAATACACTGTGGAATAGAGTAAGCTGGTTCGAGTAAAATACATATGTTTGTCTGCGCCATTTGTTTTAAAGAAGGGTTTATCGATATTCGTGGGTATCGATATCAATTTTTCTGTGTCTATTTTTGTCTATTCCCGGCTCTTGAATTTGACTAAAAAATTCAAGAGCCTGGGATAGAAAAAATATGAATGCTCTTGTTCTGATCATAATTTTAACATTTTTGAAATTCGCTGGCAAAATAGGTTTGTTCCAAAACGCAAAAAACTGTCCGCTTAATGGTTCCGGAACCACTCTAGGTCTGTTTCCACAGACCGTGCGTTCGTTATTTTGGTCTGAGTTCTCCGAGCTTGACTTTACCGTTCGTTTATTTAAAAAGTGTACTCGGTGCAGCCTCATACGCGTTCGTTTATTAAAATTTCCGGTACTTTTATATAGCGTTCAACTGCTCCGTTCGCTCGCTGGTCACGTGATTACGGCTCCGCTCAGCTCGCTCTACACTTTGAGCAAAATACCGAACGCAAGGCATAATCACGAACCAGTCAGAGCGTTTCTAATTGGTGCAATTAGCCAACAACCGGTTTCCGGGTTTCCTGACTATTTTCCACCAATTAAATTTGCTCTGACAGGTTTCTGGTTTGTGATTTTTGTGAGAAGAGGCCTTCTATATAATAAAAATTTCGGATTCTACACACAAATTTTACGTTTTGAGAAGAATCCACGGTAATCATGTAATATTTACAGTTGGGTTGTAGAGGGCGCTTCTGTACTTGGAGCTTTTTGAATTGTGGCGCGTTAAATAACCATTGAGGTATTATTATTAAAGTATTATTCATTATTCTACCTCAATGTGAATAGCTGAGCATAATTTTAACCTCCAAAGTTCAGTCTGACGTGTGGTTTCTGCTTTCGAAAAATTGAAATTAAGCTAGTGCAAAATGGAACAGAATTAGAACAAACAGAGTAGTTCGGACAGTTCAACAGATCAAAAAGAGCCAGTGCACTTGGAACAGTCAGAGTAGAATTACTTAAAACCCAAAATTAATTTTCGAATCAGCCTATAGGGCTGGTTTCTCAATAGCGAGTCACCTTCGGGTTAATTTCAACTCCAGAGTAAGCGTGTCCAGTTGCTATGTTTACCCTGGGCTAGGATCACGACAAGTAGAATTCTACTTTCATGACGTCAGGTTGCCCAGCAACCATCATCATTGCCTGTAGTGTATGCGATAAATAGGTCGCGGGTGACGTCATGAAAGTAAAATTCTACCTGTCATGATCCCAGCCCTGGAGTTATGCTTAACCCGGGGGTGACTCGCTATCGAGAAACCCGCCCTTACTGTTATAAGGTTCGTTCCTCCAACACGTCAATAACCGTCTCATGAACGGTTTCGAAACCACTCGGTATACGAATTTCGAGTTCTACGCACAAATTTTTGGCTTTGCGCAGAATCATGACGGTACGATTCTGAACTAAGTAAGTCTAAACAAACTTAATATTCACTTCATTAAAAACACATATTTCATTTAATTTAATTGCACACAGGAAAAAAATAAAAATGTACAAGTGCACTAAACACAAAGACACATACATTTAATTAAATCAAATCATTCTGAATAAAATTAACAATTTCCTCACAACCTTTCTTGTTGGCGACTAAAGAACGATGTATTTCGATTTTTCCTTGCATTTCCGAAGGGTTCATTCTGGCCACTACCTTCAAAATGCCTAAAACAAATCAAAATTATACCTACCGGATTTTTATAAATTCATTTGAACTTCAAATTTGACAAAATTGGCTCAAATTTGGCAACAAGGCAGCCAATTTTGCGAAAAACGTATTGTAATCGTAATGAATTTAAAAATCATTTATCCTTGTGTGTAGGACAAGGACAAAGCAGAACTCCAAATAATACATTTTGATTGGGTAAATTAATAAGGTTTTTGAGACAAGCTCTCCACTCCTGTTCTGTCCTTGACCAATCACGCATGGCTTTTTCCTCAAGACCACACCCTTGCCAAGCATGACCCCTCCCCTTCACCTCGATTAAACTCCTCCCACAGACTAATCATATTATCAAAGGAGCGCCATTTTGATTTAACCTAATACACCCTCCATCATTGGAGTTTTTCATTTGCCAATCACGCCCTTTTTCACGGATTAAGCTCCTCCTACAGATCAATCATAGCACTGTTAAGAAGCGCCATTTTTATTTATCTTAACACATCCGCCATTGGGCCCCACCCTTTGCCAATCACGCCACTCCCCACCCCTTCTCATCGATTAAGCCCCTCCTACAGACCAATCATAGCACTGTAAAGGGGCGTCATTTTTTATTTAACTTGACACATCCTCTATCGGACCCCTCCCTTTGCCAAACACCTTAATTCCTCCCCTTCACCTCAATGACACTCCTCCTACAAACCAATCATAACACTGTAAAGGAGGGCGATTATTATCTACCTAAGCACACTCCTCCCTCTACCAATCATGCGAGACCCCTCCCATTCTCCTCAACTAAGCTCCTCCTCCAGACGAATTATGTTACTGTAAAGAAAGGTTATTTAACTAAACGCCCCCACTTACCTAGAACAAGTATTTGAACAGTTTCATTATCATCATCAAAATGCACCATCAAAGTATCAATAATCAATTCTCTATGAGCCTTGAAATTGGGCTGAAGAAATTCGTCTGGAACATTCTCGAAAATCACTTGCAAATTCTTCAAAGCGCACAAGCGCACTTTTTCAGCTGGATCGTCGCACCTTCTCAAAACATCTGGATAAATTTTCAATAAATCATCGTTCCACCAGACTCCTTTTTGCACGCAATGCGTTTTCAATAACGAAACACATTCAATAGCAACTTCTCTGCTTCTAGATGAAGCATCCTCCATCAAGCTCAACAATAGAGGAAGCATTTTTCGCATTAGCTCCTCCAAAACGTGACCACTTGCAAATAAATCTACCTCTCCATTTGGCAAAAGGGCATATTTCAAACAGCAAGCTGACATAGTCCTAATAGCTTCTGCTGTAGCTCCAGCGTGCCAAACTAACGAAGGCACAAAAATATTTGTAATTAATTTTTCCAAAAAATCATTCAAATCTGTAGCCTGCTTGAAAATAACATCTTTGTTTTCGAATACTTTGGCTAAAACAAAAAAAGTTTTCAGCCGCATTTCTGCTTCAGTTTCACCATCTAGGACTTGACTTAAAATATCCGCAATTGTATCCAAATTAATGCCAAAGGCTTCGTCACATTCAGCGAGTAATGTTAAAAAGATACAGGCCTGTTCAGTAACAGGTGTCCATAATTTTGGCTCTTGATTTATGTGATTGAATAGTTTATTGGAGTATTTGATGAGGACATCTGTTTTGGTGGGCAGTTGAAGTGATTGGGCAAGTTCTTCATATAAATTGGGTGTCAGGACATCAACATTTTCAGGATCTTTTAATGATATTAGGGAAGTTATTATTTTGAAAATATTATATCCAGTGTTTGTGTCTTTGGTGAATTTTTTCATAAAAACTCTGATGCATTTGAGTAGTTCTAGCTGATATTTTTTCTGCAAGATTATTCCTTTATTAAAAAAATTCAAGAATTTTCAAGTTATATACCTTTCTACTGTTGCAAATATAATCTACAGCCAACAAATTGCTAAGCTGTTCGATTGCCTCTGAAATGTGTTCTTTTGGGGCGCCTTCAATCAAACCAGCCAATACGGTGAGATGGCCGTAATGGAGTCCATCTTCTATGACAGGAATCACTAATTTGGACCAAGTTGTAAAACTTACAAATAACCTAAAAAGTTGTTATATACAGGAGGGTGGTACAAGTTAGTGAGTAAGTGAAATGAGATTTTTTTTTTTTGATTTTCAGCCCAGTCATTTTCATTGAGTTGATACCGAGTGCCATGTAGAGAGACATAAAAACTTAATTCCAGGCTCTGCTAGAGTTGAAATTGACCTGGAGAAGCGATCTTCAACTATTCTAGAGTTACAACTGACAAAGAGCGATATAAAAACCTCATTTTGCACCTACATAGAGCTTAATTCAACTGAGAAGAATAAAAATCCTATTCTAGGCTCTACAGAAAGGATTGAACTCTATTTGCTGGCAATCTAAGAGTTAAAATTGAGCCATTGTAGGTTTGAACGGTTATTTTTGATTCTCATGGAGCTGAATTTGAAGTAGAGAGACATAAAAACTTTATTTCAGGCTCTCCAAAAGTTGAAATTCATCTGGAGAAGCAATTTTTAACTATTCTAGAGTTACAAGTTACAACTGACATAGAGCAAGAACCTCATTTTGCACCTTGTTCTTTAGTAGTAGCAATCAGGGGCGCCGGCCAGGTTTCAAAAAACCTCGTGGTTGCTGATGTTCATGCACCGGCATTTATGAGGGGGGGGGGGGGGTGAACAGCCCGCCGTTGGCGAAAAAACTTCTTCAGAAGCCACGTCCAAAAACGTTTACCAGCATTCTTTAATTTACATTCGGACGAGTGTCTAAGAAGGGAATGGTAAAACATTTCAAACAACCTTTCCATATTCGTTTTCCAGCTGCGGGAACTAGTGTTGCTTGGTGCTTGCGTAAGTTTTTTGAGGTGTCTGCAAAAATTGGAAAAAAAGGACGGCTATAAGGGTAAAGAGTAGAGTGGTTTCACAGTTATCAGAACAATACCCACTTCTACCACGTAAAAGCCCCCCTCCAGCATAGCCATCATAGCCCTCTCCATTAATCTATTTTCAAAAGGCGCCGCCGATCTAGAGATTTTCCCACGGTATCGAAAAACTTCCTAGGCTCAAGTGCCCCCAGCTATCAGACTAGCTAGATTCACAAGCAAAATATTTATTATTGCAATAAAATTAATGCACCTGTTCATGACCAATACCCACCTCACAGCTATCAGACCAATACCCACCTCCACTACGTCAAAAAGCTTCTACTTTAAAGAGGTACCTCTTTTCACATCCCTTCACTTTCTTGAAAACTAGAGAATATTTCAACAATTCCTGCATTTGTATTCGTCAATAGTGTTCTAAACTCCATTAGATTAATTTTATTGCAATAATAACATTTTGCTTGTGAATCTGGTGGACCACTTACGTAGTAGAGGTGGGTTTACAGTGCAGGTGGGTAAAAAGTGCCTCCTCAGGGTAGGAGCTTCATGCAAGGGGGTACAGTGGGGGAGGGTAGTGGTATGATGGCTGTGCTGGAGGGTGGTTTTTACGTGGTAAAGGTGGGTATTGGTCTGATAGCTGTGAAAACACTCTACTGTAAAGTGTGGAAAACTCTCCTGCAGATATTCTTTTCCAAGCAGCATGTACCGAAAATTTGCGTTTTACACTGTTCTCCATAGAAGATTTCTGATTTTCTTCATCTTCTTCTAAACAAAGTACCACCATGTTCCGATATCAACTGCCAGTACTGGATTTACTGTGTTGATTTTACTGTCATTTGCCGTTCTAATTTCAACAGGGTACTCTTGTGGTCATTCAGTACTGAATCGACTGAATGCAGTGTACTGAAAATAATATCGGAACGGCGTCCAGTAAATTCAGTACTGACAGAATTGATATCGGAACATAACCTATATAAGGCCATGGTCCAAATATAACCAAACGTTAACCATTAGCTCTGTTCCAACAGACATGAGAACCGTTCCAGAACCAATAATTTTCAGTTGCCCACCTATTTTTCAATTAGATGAACGTTTTTCCTAATTGATAAATGGATTGATCGACTGGAAATTACAGTTCTAGAAAGGTTTTCATGTCTACTGGAACAGAGCTAAAGTAACCGAATCGGTCAACAGATGTTCACTGAAAATTCTGGTTACTTTCGGGAACGCAAATATGGAAATAAAACATAATTGACAGAAGTTACAGATAAAACCTTGATAAAACCAACAGACTGTACAAAATTAACCAGTTTTCCAGGAACTAGAGAGGATTATCAGTTTTTATGTATATGCTCGTGGGTGCTTCGCACCCACTGTTTACGTCTCGTGGGTGCTCTAGCCCCCGAGCACCCACGTAGTTGGCGCCCCTGGTAGCAATAAATATTATCTATGAATTCTCACCCAATAATTTCACTGGCTTGTATAATATTAGCCACAACTCTTTTATCGTCATCCCTAGCAGCAGAATACATAGCAGGAAGTAAGTTTTGCAAATTAAAAGTCAAATCTTCTTCTGCGTGCAAGGCTACAGAGCAAAGCAACTGGCTGCAACGTACACGCACGTCCTCTTGCCAATTGGTCAACTCATTCGATAAGGCCCCTGCCAGTTTGCTTATGTTTCTTTGAACCAAAACTCTACAGCCTAAATTGGGCCTCTGCATGTGAGATGGGTAATTTTTTGGCAATTCTAAAAGATAGTCTAGTTTGTCTTTTAAGTCTTTTTCGTTTTCTTTTTGATATTGCAGGCCGATTTTTTCCCATAAATAATGAGCTTCTTGTCTTGTGTTTTCTACTTCATCATTTAGGCCGGTTAAAATTAACGGAAGCATTTTGTGGAAGTATGAATATCTGTCGCGGTGCTCCAATAGCCAACGAGATGCTTCTTGAGCCACTGCTTGTCTTACAGTGGGGATTTGGTCGAAAAGTTTTTCTGCCATTGGTACTACAGCCTCGTCAACTCCTATATTTAATTATTAAAGAATTCAGTAGGTAATAATACAAACAAAAATTCTTACCTTTATATGTGCTATGCATTATAATTTCTCCAACAGCTTTAATAGCTTCGACTCTAATTTTGTATCTCTGATGAGTAAAGCAGCTGAGTACTGGTTTCAATAGGGTTTCAGATTGCAAATGGAAATCCTTTGGTAAGGCTTTTGCTAGTGATATTATAGTTTGACAACTCAGCTCTTTTATAGCTGGATATTTGTCTTTAACTGTTTCACATAGAACTATTGTTGAATCATTTAAAAATGGTTTTAATTGTATTGTGTTTGAGTATTTTATAATTATTGCTCTGAGAAGTTGCACCATTTGTAGTCTGACTTCTTCAGAGGTTTCTATCAGCTCAACTGAGCCTATTCTTTCCAATAATACAGGAAATATGTATGTGAGGTAAAAATCATTTAAAGGAAGCCTTTGGGTGATAAGGAAGTTTACAAATTTGATGGCTTGTTCTCTTACAGCTTCGGATTCGTCTCTGAGGCCGTTGAGGAAGTACATGTAAGTTTCTGTGTAGATATTTCTCAATTCTTGATCAGTAAGCTCTTCGTTGGATAAAAAATCTTGTAAGTCTATGTAAGTTTGTTTTTTTAATCTCCTGTCTTGGCTCTGTAAGTGCAGGCAAATTTTCTTCGCTTGAGATGTTTTATCGGCAGTTTCATTATCCATTGTCATACTTTAATTAGTTAAATTGGAAATTAATTAAAATACAGAGGAAAAACTTTGTTATCCAAACCTCCCCAATATCCACAAACAAGTTTGGTTGTCATGGAAACAGCTCTTCTTTTTTTTAAAGGCATATTCGATTATATGCACTGGAGTCACTATCTCTGTTTAACTATATGAATGAAACAAGGATACAAAAACAATAAATCTTTGACATTGACAGTGTCCTTAACCAAAACACAAAAGGCGATTTCGGCAAGCTTTGGTTGGTATACCATTTGGTTAACCAATTGGTACCTGCAACGTCATAGTAATGACGTAAGATACCATTTTGTTCCGAATTCGTTTGGTAGGTCATAGGAGAGGGGAAGAGACGAGCCTTAACCTAAGTTTGTGTTGTTCTTCTAGTTTTGGGAGTGACTAGGTACTGACTGCACTGACTAAAATGTATAATCACTAATCAGCACTGTCTAGACAGTACCTTTGAGTAACTCAGCGTTTTCTGTAAATTTAAAGCTGTTAAAGTTACCTCATATCTGTCGTTCAGAGCCGTTTTTCAAATGATCGTCAAACATTATTTGGCAGTCAAAACATACGAGAAATCAGGAAGATGAAGGCGAAAAAACAAACATATTTGTTAAAAATTTCAAATTATTCAAATTCTAATGAACTTCCATTTATTTACATTTTCCAGAGCAGGACAAAACGAAAATAGACGTAGATAGCACTATACCAAATAGAAGAACCGTGCTGCTGACCACGGTATCCTATTTGACAGACCAAAAAGGATACCAAAGTCACGGTGACGACATCATTTTCGTATCCGAAATTGGTTGGTATGCATTTGACAGACCAAACAGGGTACCAAACCATGTACCAAAGCTTGCCGAAATCGCCTAAAATTTTAGAAAATTTATAAATATTTATATTAAATTAAAAGGCCCTTTAAATTTGCCCTTTTATCTAATAGTTTTTATCACAAATATGTTCAATGGCGACAGCTGATTTGTTTGAAAATGATACTCATCACAATACAAAGGAAATCCATCCATCAGAAGTAACTTTTCTTGAGGTAACAGTGAAAAATCCTAATAAAAATCATAATTCTATTGAATATTCTATAATAATTAGGTTGTTGGAGAAGGCAGCTTTGGTGTAGTTTACAGAGGAGCATGGGAAAACAACCCTGTAGCAATAAAAAATATTACAAGAGATGCAGAGAAAAAGGCATTTTTAATCGAAGTCAGGCAACTATCTCGAGTGGATCATGAAAATATTGTCAAACTATACGGAGCCTGCACTCAAGGCCTGCAATTTTTCCTCGTCATGGAGTACGCAGAAGGGGGCTCTCTTTTCAATGTTTTACACAAGTCTAGTCTTGAATATACCATGGCTCATGCTATGTCTTGGACTTACCAATGTGCAAAAGTAAGCAAAATACCAATTTATACCTATATCTCTCAGTTTATTCATCAACTGTCTACAAGATATCTATCATTCTATTGGTTGACTGATATCTGGTTGACCAATAGGATTATAGATTGCATTTTTATCTGTCAAAATGCATTTCCTGACAGTTTATCAGAAGGTGAATAGACTGAGCCTAAATAATAATATACAAAGCCAACAACAATTTTTTTCCAGTTAACCAGTTCATTACAGAGGTGTAGATTATTTTAAAATACAAAACCACAATACCTCTATTATCTTTTTTCAAATGATTAAGACCTAATTTATTCATCTTCTGATAAACTATCAAATAATGCATTCTGACAAGTAAATAAGTATACTCCTATTGGTCAACCAGTTTAGTACTAAAAGGATGAAATTTCAAATTTTTTTAAGTTGAGAAAAACCACTCAGAAAATTGAAAAATTGATAAATCACCCCAAATCGCTTAACACAATTTGATTTCTGGAACTATAAGTCCAAATGAGCTGAAATTTTCAGGGATTGTACTCATCCACTGGAACAAGAATCACTGGAAATTTCAGTTTTCTATCTTTAATAGAAAAAAGTTATGGGACTTCAAAGTTTAAGGTACTTACCTTCTTAACCGTCCGTCACTCGTGCTTCATTTTTTTAAGCCATCGCTAGCGAGTTAGATTTTATCTAACATCCATTTCTTTGCAATAAAACTATTATTTTTCAAACAGAAGTTTGCTATATTAATTAAATTGATTTTTAATAATTTTATATAAGTGTTGTTTTAATAAAAACACCAAAATACAACTTGAAAATCTATCAAAATTGATCAAAATTAACAAAATTTCAACATACGCCGTCACTCGCGCCGTTAGATTGTTTTTAACATCCACCCGCTCGCGTGTTAGATTTTTTCTAACAATATGTCGTTTTGGCACGAAAACAGAAAAATCGCCCCTGTCGACTATTCATGCGTGTAGTAGGTTGGGTCATGAAAGCATTCCTGGATACACAGCAAAAATAATGAAAAATTGTAGAAATTATGACAAATTTTTAAAAAATGTTAGATTTTTTCTAAGGGTGCGAGCGATGGAGGGTTAAAAAAACGATGAAATTTTAATTTTTTTTTTGTCAAGATTTTGTATCCTAATGGTCAATCAACATACCCCAAACTCCATACACTAAATTATTCTCAGATATGAAGCCGAAATCTATGAAAAAAGGCACTCAGAAAAATTGAAAAATTGATAAATCACCCCAAATTGCTTAACACGATTTTATCTCGGGAACTATAAGTGAAAATGAGCTGAAACTTTCAATGATTGTAGTCCTTTGAAAGGGATAAAATTCAGTGAAAGTTTCAGCTTTCTATCTATGATAGAAAAAAAGTTATGACCTTTCAAAGTTTTCCAAAATCTAAATCATAAGGTAGGTACCTTCCTACTAAAACGATGAAATTTAAATTTTTTTTTTGTCAAGATTTTGTATCCTAATGGTCAATCAACATACCCCAAACTCCATACACTAAATTATTCTCAGATTTTAAGCCGAAATCTATGAAAAAAGGCACTCAGAAAAATTGATAAATTACCCCATATTGCTTAACACGATTTTATCTGAGGAACTATAAGTGCAAATGAGCTGAAATTTTCAGGGATTGTAGTCCTTTGAAAAGGATAATTTTCAGTGAAAGTTTCAGCTTTCTATCTATGATAGAAAAAAAGTTCTGACCTTTCAAAGTTTTCCAAAATCTAAATCATAAGGTAGGTACCTTCCTACTAAAACGATGAAATTTCAATTTTTTTTTTGTCAAGATTTTGTATCCTAATGGTCAATCAACATACCCCAAACTCCATACACTAAATTATTCTCAGATATGAAGCCGAAATCTATGAAAAAAGGCACTCAGAAAAATGGAAAAATTGATAAATCACCCCAAATTGCTTAACACGATTTTATCTCGGGAACTATAAGTTCAAATGAGCTGAAATTTTCAAAGATTGTAGTCCTTTGAAAGGGATAAAATTCAGTGAAAGTTTCAGCTTTCTATCTATGATAGAAAAAAAGTTATGACCTTTCATAGTTTTCCAAAATCTAAATCATAAGGTAGGTACCTTCCTACTAAAACGATGAAATTTAATTTTTTTTTTTTGTCAAGATTTTGTATCCTAATGGTCAATCAACATACCCCAAACTCCATACACTAAATTATTCTCAGATTTTAAGCCGAAATCTATGAAAAAAAGGCACTCAGAAAAATTGATAAATTACCCCATATTGCTTAACACGATTTTATCTGAGGAACTATAAGTGCAAATGAGCTGAAATTTGCAAGGATTGTAGTCCTTTGAAAGGGATAAAATTCAGTGAAAGTTTCAGCTTTCTATCTATGATAGAAAAAAAGTTATGACCTTTCAAAGTTTTCCAAAACCTAAATCATAAGGTAGGTACCTTCCTTCTAAAACGATGAAATTTCAATTTTTTTTTTGTCAAGATTTTGTATCCTAATGGTCAATCAACATACCCCAAACTCCATACACTAAATTATTCTCAGATTTTAAGCCGAAATCTATGAAAAAAGGCACTCAGAAAAATGGAAAAATCGATAAATCACCCCAAATTGCTTAACACGATTTTATCTCAGGAACTATAAGTGCAAATGAGCTGAAATTTTCAGGGATTGTAGTCCTTTGAAAGGGATAAAATTCAGTGAAAGTTTCAGCTTTCTATCTATGATAGAAAAAAAGTTATGACCTTTCAAAGTTTTCCAAAATCTAAATCATAAGGTAGGTACCTTCCTTCTAAAACGATGAAATTTCAATTTTTTTTTTGTCAAGATTTTGTATCCTAATGGTCAATCAACATACCCCAAACTCCATACACTAAATTATTCTCAGATTTTAAGCCGAAATCTATGAAAAAAGGCACTCAGAAAAATGGAAAAATCGATAAATCACCCCAAATTGCTTAACACGATTTTATCTCAGGAACTATAAATGCAAATGAGCTGAAATTTTCAAGGATTGTAGTCCTTTGAAAGGGATAAAATTCAGTGAAAGTTTCAGCTTTCTATCTATGATAGAAAAAAAGTTATGACCTTTCAAAGTTTTCCAAAATCTAAATCATAAGGTAGGTACCTTCCTACTAAAACGATGAAATTTCAATTTTTTTTTTGTCAAGATTTTGTATCCTAATGGTCAATCAACATACCCCAAACTCCATACACTAAATTATTCTCAGATTTTAAGCCGAAATCTATGAAAAAAGGCACTCAGAAAAATGGAAAAATCGATAAATCACCCCAAATTGCTTAACACGATTTTATCTCAGGAACTATAAGTGCAAATGAGCTGAAATTTTCAGGGATTGTAGTCCTTTGAAAGGGATAAAATTCAGTGAAAGTTTCAGCTTTCTATCTATGATAGAAAAAAAGTTATGACCTTTCAAAGTTTTCCAAAATCTAAATCATAAGGTAGGTACCTTCCTTCTAAAACGATGAAATTTCAATTTTTTTTTTGTCAAGATTTTGTATCCTAATGGTCAATCAACATACCCCAAACTCCATACACTAAATTATTCTCAGATTTTAAGCCGAAATCTATGAAAAAAGGCACTCAGAAAAATGGAAAAATCGATAAATCACCCCAAATTGCTTAACACG